ACAAAGCGGAACCAAGACCGGTTTGATTTTATTCAATCACGACGAGGCCTTTATACGTTACCAAGGGTACAGCGATTACAGCCCCAGCACCGAGGGCAACGCCGCCAAGTTAGTTACCAAAGTCAGGCTAATACATCAACATTTGACTTAATTGACCCGGAGCTAAAAGATTTAGAGGGGCTACCCCCAGGCCAAGACAGGTGTGATTACACCCTACCTTCACTTGCAAGGCCATAGAATGACAGTTGCCTCAGGGGGAAGTAGTTGAATCAATTGAGTTGAGCCAAGTCCGTAATAAGTCTCGGTCTGGTCGGGAAATTCAGGAGTCATGGCGTAATATAGATCTATAGCAATAATTATAGTAATTGCCATCTACTACAAATTGCACATGGAAAATAAGTCATTATATGTATTATCTACACGTGATTGTTAACCAACCCTAGTCCCGTGACCAGTTTCTTGGGAGACCGATGGGGAACTGTGGGTTATGAGCTTCAGACCGGACCGTGATCCGGTCCGGGGTCGGGGGACTGATGGGGTAGGTCCCCCATGACGCACACTACTTCCGCCTTTAGTAGAATAGCAGAATGCATCATAACTTGCGCCCCCTTAACAAGGCTGCTAATAGCATCATTAATTAAGGTAGTAGAGCTATTCTAATGTCATATGACACGCTTCTTAATATGCTCTGTTTGAAAATCAAGCTCCCTTATAGTTGTAAGGATGCCTTCTCGTCTCTCATTCTAGGGAGTAGACTCTGGGTAGCTGCAGGGTCACGTGTGATTATTTGGGTGGGCTAACCGAGTCGGAACCGAGTCGGATGGGTTTCGGGTACTTGAGACAATCGTGTAATGGTGGGTGCACCAGATGTGAGAATCTAGCCACCCAAGGAAGGGATGGTTTTACTAAGACAACACACAGTCTTAGGAAACAGAGCCAAAGGGTTGTAGCTTAGACTATTCCACAACGCAGCAATCAGGTGTGTGATGTAGTGAAGTGGTTCAGACAAGTTGCAACAAATGTTGAGTCTGGGAACTCAGGGGTAAGTCAGAGGTTAACACCTCACTGACTTTTCAGAAACAAGGAGTAACAAGATGAATGATTGGAAGCTTGTAAAAGACGTGGAAGTATGTGATAGTCGATTTACTGTATTGCCTGCTTGCCCTTTCTTAAGGAAAGGGCAATCCTATTTATGCCAAAGGAGTGTAGTTCTCTCATTTTCCATGACTTTCCATGACTAACCAGGCTTGGTAAATGTATTAGAAATCAAGTGCGACCCACAACTAGCTTGCTAATCATGTAGTGAACGTAAGAGAATCCCATAGAACCATCTCTTGGGTTCCTAGCCTATAGGAAGTGAAAAGGAGGTCCAAGGTCAGAGTACCTATAGATAAATTATGTCATAACTTAACCAATCTTGTGGGTAACTAAGGAGTGATGGCGTGTAATGAATCATAGAGGGTTGTAGAAGCTTTTGGAGCTATCGTTCATGTTCCTAGGCCTCTAGTTGGTAGAGATATGCCATGTGGTAGTATTGGCCCACCCCCTTAAGGAGGAGATTTTCTTAATAACTTGTTCAATGAGTGTCCAAATGATATGCCGTGATGTATGTAGCATAAACAGATGTAGTAGAAGAGTTTGCAGCAATCGTTGAGTAGTATTGCTTCTGTTGTTGGTGTGATAAGCCAAGATATGTATGTTGACTTGTAGGTTTGAGGAGGAGATTTCTAAGTTTGCTCTTGAGTTTGATAGCAAACTGAGTGCAACAAATGTCAGTATGACATAAGGGTGGGGTGAGCTGTAACAGAGAGGCCATAGTATTCAGCTTTGGTGCTTGACAGTGCCACTGTTTTTTGCCATCTGGATTTCGAAGTGATAACTCCTCTATAGAAGTAGAATAAACCTAGATGTAGACGATCTAGTATCAATGTCCCCTGCCTAATCTGAATCGGAGCAACCGTAGAACCCCTTTTTGGATCTGTGATATGTAATGCCAAGCCCAACTATGTAAGCTAGGTATCACAGGATTTGGTATGTAGCTTTTATATGTGCCTTAGTAGGATTCGTAAAGTGGCAGCTTAGGAATGAGACTGTAACGCTGACTTCTAAACGATAGAAGACACAGAGGTTTCTTGCGTAAGGTTGACTTGACAGAGGAGGCAGGGGATTAGACACAAAGGTAACACGTTACAGTATTGTAAAGAATACTATATTGAGTTGAGCACGAAGCTCCTATGAAATACTATCTACTTATATAGTGGCGTCATGCCTCATGGGTAATCTGGATAGTTGGCGGATAGCTAGATATTCAGGATAGTTCATGGATAGCTCAACTATCCAATATCCACTAGTTTCTGCAACTATCCATTAGCCCCGTCACATAGCAGCCTACCCCGCTTGCCCCCTGTGACTCACACATCACGTTACTAGGCCCTGGTCCTGTAACCATGACGTCACATTACCGTAGCCGTAACAGAGACTGCGAATGCAACATCGGGTCGGGTTTGGATCATAGCATACATGATCGATCCGATCATCGACTAGAATAGCTTTATGTCCACTTCTAAGGCCTGCCTAGTGTTTGTAGGGAGCGATTTAGAGGCGTTGGTTTCTATAGGGGTATCCTTTTTAGTAGCGTCTTCTATGCCGAAGACTCTAAGGATCTTTTAGATATAGCTCTTCTAGCTCAAATGGATTAACCGATTCTCTCGATCCATTGATATTTCGATGCCTGAGAAGGTGGCATGGGCCTAAATCCTTTAGCTCTTGAATTACATTGCTATTAGGTCCCATTATGAGAAAATCGTCAACGTAGGTAGCAACGAATACGCTCTTTTTTAGATGCTGATATATACAGTCATCTTCTAGCAATGGGTAATATCCAAGCTCTAAGAGCAGCTTCCTAACATTTCTAGCCCATAGTCTCGCGGCCTGTTTTAAACTGTAGAGTCCCTTTTTGAGGCGGCAGGCACAGGAGCCATTCTCATATCCAACTGGCATTTGGATCCAAACAGTTTCTTCAAGGTGACTGTTTAGGAACGCTATGACTGCATCCATTTGCTCAATATCCCAATCATAATCGCTGTGCTTTTAGCTACTAAGGCGAAGGCTTGATCATAGTTGACCCCTTTTAATTGCTCGAAGCCATTAGCTACCTAGTAGGCTTTGAATCGCTCTACGATTCCAAATACCCATTTGATGGCGAAGACCCATCGCCCCTTAATAATATGATTTGCCTAGGGATCAACTAGTAATGCCTAGCACTAGCTAAACATCCCTAGCCCTAGAGCAAATTAACACCCAGCCCGACTTGGATGCTCTTTATTTGTCCCCGTGAGGCTGGGGCCGGGACGGCATCGAGGGGTTGAGCGAGTTATTAATGCTACGACAGGCTCAAGGAGGTGGTTTCTGCAATTCAGGTGCGGGCGAGTCAGGACACAGCCTCTGCGACATCCTAGGAGTCAAATGGATAGGCAGGATTATGGAGACTGCGGGCATTCACTCGTTAGATGGAGGAGGGGATTGACAGTAGCAGCACAGCGACAGCAACAACCTACGAAGGCTCAACTAAACGCGTACTCCGTAACTTACGGACCGTAAGTCGGCACATATATGTCTTTAGCTCTATCGGAGCTTATCATATGTTCGGATAGCCGTGGTAGAGGTTTCTTGCTTCATATAAAACTCACTTTCCTAACTCTAATCACGTGATATATTATGCGTTCGTTGTCAATTGAGACTTGGCCTTTACCCCTATGCCACCCATAACCCTAGCGCCGTGGTGCCTGTCGAACCCTGAAAATGCGAATGGGATAGACAGACCCTTGCGGCCGCCACGTAGCAGCACCTGTAGATTTCGATTGACGCCGACGACAACGACGTCAACGACGACAACGACGACAACGCGATGAACGAACAGCTTTTTCTTGACTTTTGATCGCGCAAGAGGTTGTGTGTGTGTATTGCATTGATGAGCGGCTTTGTTTTGAGTGTTAGAATCAGCGGTGGAGCTTCAGCGACTGTTGCGATACGCCTTCCGATACGTCTCGACGAGTACTACGAATTTCTACGAAGCGACGACGCATCCCTGGGACGCATCTCTGGACGCTAGGTGTGTTGCGACGACGAAGAAACATTGACAGCGAGCGTTTGATTGGGATAATTATGCATTGGTAGCGATTGTGTGAAAGAAGCAGTTGGGTAGAACTGGGAAGAGGAGGGATATTATAAAGTGCACTAAAACAAACAGCTTGCGACAAAGCAGCCAGACTAGCGAACATGCCAGCACCTAGCAACCAGGACGGGAACATGCGCTACAGTCAATCGCGACAAGCCCAACCCCTACACAACCGCCTCGCAAGCAACGGCTCGTCCGTCCAAAGCTATCCCGCTTCCCAAGTATTCCAAGCCCCCCGCTCAAGCCTGAACGGCAAAATGCTGCTCGACGGCTACCATGGCGACATCCTCAACAACTTCGAGGGCGCCCCCCCGAAATTCAATCCCAGAAACTCGAACCGGACCAACAGCTCCCCGCTCCTCGACGCCAACGACCCGATACAAATGCACCTCCTCGTCTCCACGGCGCTCGAGGATGCGACCGGCTACGCGATCCTCGCGCCAGAGGAGGTGGACAGCCTGCGCAAGCAATGCATCCGCCTGACGCAGCGCATCGAGTCGACGCGGCAGAACCTCGCCGTGCAGTCAAAATACCGCGACGCAGCCATCAACGTGGGAAAACTCTACTCTGACGGCGGCGACGGCAAGCGACGGAGCCGCGGCAGCCTCGGCCTCAAGCGAAACAGCCACACCGACCAGAGTCGGGAAGCGGAAGCTGAGCGCGCGGCGAGCGAGCAGCGGTGCGAGGAGCTGGCACAGGAGCTATGGGGGCTGGAGAAGAGGCTGATTGAACCGCAGACAGCGCTGTTGCAGCATACGGCGGGAATCCTGCAGATGACGCATAAGCCCTCGAAGAAGAAGGGGGGGGGGCGTCGCAGGAGGGGATGCCGGGGAGTCCGCATAGTATGTATACGTACGAGGATGCGAGGGGGAGTGTGGCGCCGGGGGAGGATATTTTTGATGAGAGGAGTTTGTATCGGTCGTTTGATCGGTTGGATCATGCTGAGGGTGATAGAGCGGTGGAGGCGCCGGGTGGGATGGGTGCTGATGCGGAGGCGAAGCTGAGGGAGCTTTGGGAGATGATGCATCCTAGCGCTCAAGACGGAGACGATGATGTGCCTGTGCAGGACTTTTCACTGCTGGCCTTCTCGTCGAAGGTTCAGTCGCTGCACAGCCAGTCCGCAATGCTGAATGATCAGAAAGAGGTGCTACAGCGCCAAATCAAGCAGCAGCGCGAGCTGAACAATAAGTCCGACGAGACCAAAGACCGCGAGATGGCCGAGATGGAGACACAACTGAAATCCACCCAAGCCACCCTCTCCCAAGTCGAAGCGCAAGCCCAAAGCCTCGAATCCAAGCTCGCAGACGCCCTAGACCAATCCTCCCGCTCCCAAGGCGAAGCCACCATCGCCCTCCACTCAAACATCGACAACCTCCAAAACGAGCTCGACAACCTCCAAAACAAGCTCGAGGACCGCCAAAACGAGCTCGAAGACCTCAAATCATCCAACGCCATCGACCTCGCCGACCTGCAATCTCAACTCACCAGCTCCTCCGAGCACATCTCCGCCCTGCAACTGGCGAAATCCACAGCAGAAGCGCATATCGGCGATCTCACCGCCGATCTCGAGAAAGCGCGTAAGGCGGAGGCGCAAGTTGTTAGTTTGACCGCTGATCTTGAGGAGGCGCGGAACGTTCAATCTGCCCGCGCGGTCGACGAGGATGAGCTCGACACGAAGAATATGGAAATCGCCCGCCTGCAAACCGAAGTCACCATCGCCCGCGCCGAACTCGACGGCGCGTACGGCTCTCGCGCCCAACGCGCCGCGGAAGTCGCTTCCAACCCAGCTATACAGAAGGAGCTCGACGCGCTGCGACGCGAGCTGGGCGAGACGATCGAGGAGTACGAGGTCCTCACCAAAGCCTCCATCGAGGGGGAGCGCGAGCGCGAGTTGCTGGAGAAGGAAATCGACCGTCTCCGTGACGAGAGGGAGGCCCTAGAGGCGAAACTGAGCGATGAGAGGGTGCGCTGGATGGGGGTGAAGAGTCCGGGACCGGATGGGGGGGGGCGGCGGGTGTGGGGGCGGGGAATACGAGTACGGCGGTGTTGAAGAATGAGTTTAAGAAGATGATGAGGGATACGAGGGCGGAGAATGCGAAGGCTTTGAGGGTGAGTTGTTCTTTTTTTACTGTGTTATTTTGGTAGGGGGGTTGAGGCTAACTGGTGTGATTAGGCCGAGCAGGCGGAGAGGAGGAAGTTGGAGGATGAGTTGCGGGCGCTGAAGAAGGCGCAGGGCCCGGGGAAGTCGAATTTGAGCCAGAGTACGCTTGGGTCTTAAGACGGTCTGTCTGTGCCGTTCGGGGGATGATGCGTTTTAGCGGAGCGGGGTTGGAAATGAATTATGTGTATATTTCAAAAGTGACAACGCGGTTTTTTTGTTGGGAGAAGAAAAAGAGGGGGATTAGGGGGCGTAGATGGGTAAGAGGTAGAAGATGTACGGCTGGTTTGAGGAACAGAGGTGGGCATAGACGGGCGTTTTCGATGGGGAGATCTGTTCAATTTACCATCATTATTTTGGTTTGACCTGTGGTGGTGGTGGTTGATTGGTGTCTCGTCACCTGGTTTACTGCCACTTTCTGGCCGAAAAGTATGAAACGGGATCGCAGGATTCAATTCCAGCTATACACCACCTCCCCTTCTAGACTCGTGAACGGCATCGGATATAAAAATCCACGACATAACTTGATGATGTGACGGTCGAAAGAGAACCGACATCCGTTCGTCCTGATCCAAATGTAAATGCCGAGATGGTTAAACCACCCCACGCTGTACCTAGTCGCAATTGAAGTTACCCATCCCAAATCCGTGGCGTTAACCCTGCAAAAGGCAAGGTCGCTCGGAATGCTTGAATCGACAGACGGGCGATCCTGGGTGGATAGTAAGACAAGCTTGGTGGGCGAATTGGGGCTTTGTTCCTCGTCACGGCTATGATCAGTGAGTATAGAACGAGGATAAGAGTTAAGAAAGAAGAAGAAATGCTCCAGAAAACCTTTGGACAGGAATGGGAAGCATGGCATGCGAAAACAAAGCGGTTCATTCCAGGTATCTTAGGCGCCGAGATCTAATACAGCTCCGGGTATACGATCCCGAATTTTAATCTCCGTGAATTTGTTGAGGCGTATCCAGGAAGGAACGAACGGCTGGTTATATATCCCAGTCGTTCCTTCCTAAAGCTACCAGAGCAACCACAAGTTACGATGATATGGTTGCAATAGCCCCAATTTCCTGTTCATCTTCAACAATGTTTCATCAGCTAATACTGCCGCTTATCTATCGATACCTATAAACCATCCCACTAGGGGCAAATGAGCGACTCCAACTCGGAAAGATTTCGCCTTTTCTCATATTTTGCAAGATACTCCGTCCACGCGCAGCACGCCCATCATTGACCCTCCAGTCAAACCAAGCACTGCTTCCTCTAGGCCTCGCCAGAAAAGCTCTCATTGGGATAGCTACCTCGCGACGAACTTACAACGAGCCAACTTACAACGAGCCAACTCTGCTCTAACCTACGCTTCGAAAATTCATCTCCTCACGAGTCAACCCTCTACGAACCAACTCATCCGATATCGACGCTCCGGAATCCAGCTAGCGACCAATGACAAGCCACCCAGGTCCACACCTTCACCCGTCACATCCTGGCGAATTGCACTCGATATTTTTGCGCGCCTTCCACTCCCCATGGTCTGGCATTGGACGACGGCTGGCACTGGCTATCCGTGGCTTTATCTCACTATATATGACGGTCACTTTTATTATGGTCATGGCGTGGCAGGCAAGGACCGAGGCGGCACTGTCAATGGTGTTGTTCAAGTTTGAGACGATCAGCTTTTTCTGGCAGGTGGTGTATTCTTGGATAACGTTTGTAAGTTCTCCATGAATCTTCAAGCGTAGTATGTGATCTTCTGGAGGCGTATGGCGTTGCAATCCTTGAGAGTGAGCATGATGGTGTTGCGGCATTGTTTTGAATTGCTCCAATTAATAATGGTTTGTTACGGAGAGCTAATCCCTCCATAGACCTGGGCGTTCATGCATATCATGTCTCCGTGTCAGTCCGGCACACAGGATGATGGTTTCATGGACAGCCTGAAGATTGCGTTCCGATATCCATTAACAGACAGGTGGCGCCAACTGTTTAGTATTATTTATACAGGGGCAGTATCCCTACCGAATGTCGTTACTCTAGTCTACTGGACCATCGTGGTTCCTCATGATGTAGTTGATGGTATGTCGACATCGTGATACTGATAAAACGGGGGGCGGCTACTGATACATTCTGCAGTGGGAGACCTCTTCAATAACGGTGACCTCCAATCATTTTGCGTCCTCAACCTGTACTGCATATCGCTTGTCGTTGCTCTTATTGAGCTTTTCTTCTTATCCAGCATAAAGCCTCCAGGAGTATGTTCTTCCATATACCTAGATTTGTCTATGTGTGCCCTGGCAATATTAGATTTACTTACCATAACTGACTCTTCCAACAGCCGTTCTTTGTTCACATCCTCTGGTTCTCGGCCATCGCAGTAACATACTACGTCTGGGCCTTTCTTGGCCACATTATGACGGGAAATTACGTGTATTTCTTTCTGGATCCTGAAAAAATCGGGGAGGAGAATGTTGCCTTTGGATTGATTGCGTTTGTCGCGCTGCTAAACATATGTGAGTTTTCACACTTCAAGAATGGGTCTACGAGAACTGATAGGATAGTTTACGGTGTTGCATATGGCATGTCTGATGCTCGCGATGCCATTACAGGCCCACTGGAAATTCTCGGAACTTTGCAATTGCCGAAGTAAATACTTTCTCAATAGTAATGAGTCTTTGGTGGGTGTGGTTGGTTTATGAAAGTCCTTGGGCAGTGTCCGGTGACGGATCCTGGTTGAAATGGGATTATGGCTTCACTGTGAGTATCAAATGGTTTTCGGGCTAGAAGAGACTGTTCTCGGTTACCGGAAAATTGGAAATTCATAACAAATAAATATTATTACTTGATGAATTTGTATTTATTCTAATATTTTGAAGATGAGAACAGTGTTGTCCAAGTACTACTCAGAGTACTACTCAGAGATCTTCGAGGAGAGTACTGTTTTTCGGGCTCGAGTATAAAAATGAAAACATGATTGATAGCTATAACGTACATGTATAACGAGTCGGCCACCCAAGCGAGTCGGCCACTTTCCACCGACCACCTATATATTATATAAATCAATTCAACTACAACGCCTTAAATCAATTAAAACTACTCAGAATCTCCATCTTCAGACGTCTCCCAAACTACCTGACAAGTCCGCGAATTATGACCAGTTAGGCTGCAGTTGCCACAACGCCGAGTACGTAGCTAAGCCCACTCTGTAGAACTACCCTCCCTACGTGTATTTTCTCTCCTAGCATCAACTATACCCTTTTCTAGCCGTATCGCATTAGCTTCAGGTGCTGAAAGTGAACCTCCAGCTGTAGGCAGCTATTTTTAGCCCTCTGGCGTTTGCTTAGTAGCTCATTTGCTATACAAAGCTCCTGGTTATTAGTGTTACAGCTAACCCCACCACTAGTGCTAAGGAAGGGATTGGCTATGGAACTGCATGTGAGAAATCATAGTCATTGGTCCAGAGGAGACTAAGGGGTTAAGTATCACGTGATGGACCACGCAGGACCACGGTGTCACGGTTCACCAAGGCATAGGGCGCCAGTTGGGTATTATGAATTAAACTCAATCTAGAGAAGAAAGGAAAGAGAAGAGGAGCACTCGAGCAGTGGCTCAATCTATATACAGCTATGTTGTTGTGGAGTGAATTCTCTTTAGCAAGACCAGTTCTGAGAATTCACTCCACAACTGAAAACTTCGCTCCAACCCCGGAAAGCTCCCCACACCCCTGAACCCCCACTCGAGCTGCAAGGCGCACTTGATATCGTAACATTACCCCCCCCCTACTCCAGAGTTGATCTCCTGATCAAGAAATCCCATTTTAAAAAAAAAAACAATTGTCTCCAGCTCTCATTTTGGTTTCTGAGGGTATTTTCTGTGATATGCTTGGGTAACTTCTGGAGAATTTTCAAAGCTCTCTGCAGTATACCATGTCTCATCCGGTGGATAGTTCTTCCAAGCTGCCTTGTAGAAAAGCTTCTTTCGAATAACTTTTGAGTCGAGGATTTCGTCCACTTCCCACTCCTCTTCGCCATTGACAATGACTGGAGGCTCTGGTTCCTGTTGCTGCCCTTCGATTGCATCATTCGAGTCAAGTCTTAATAGATTGGCATGAAATACTGGATGAATCTTCATGCTGTTTGGAAGTTTGAGCCGATATGCAACTTGCCCAATTCGCTCTAGAATTTCAGAAGGTCCCACTTGCTTGTGGTCTAGCTTCTTTGATGGCCTCTGTGTCTTTATATTTCGAGTTGAAAGCCATACTCTGTCTCCCACTTGATAGCGTGGTGCAGGTTTCCTTTTCTTGTTCGCGAAATGTTCCATTTTTGCTTGCGAGAGCGTGATTTCATCCTGCAGAAACTCCCAAACCTTTGCCATGGTCTGAGCTATGTTCTTGTGCTCTTGTTTGGCTTCGTGATATGCTTGCTGCTCTGTATCGAAGCTCATTCTTGGTTCATAGCCCTTGTTCGCAAAAAACGCACTTGTCTTGGTTGCATCTGATGGCAAACTGTTGGCAGCAAACTCCGCCATGCACAAGTATAAAACCCAATTGTCTTGAAGATAGTTCACATGAGCTTGCAAGTAGCGTTCGAGCTCTGCATTGAATCGCTCAGTCTGTCCATCTGTTTCTTGGTGGAAGGCAGTTGAAAGTTTGGCCGAAATTTTCCAAATTTTGCAGAGCAAACTCCAGACTTCTGCAATGAACTGAGGACCTCTGTCTGATATTATCGAGTTTGGTAGACCATGGTGCTTCCATACATGTCGAAGTAAGAGCTGTGCTGTAGCTTCTGCAGTAGTCCCTTCTTGCCCAGCGAAACACGGAATGAAATGTCTTTCTTTCGTCAACCTGCATGCAACAACCAAGATAGCATTGTTCCCTTCACAGAGTGGTAATCCTGTCACGAAATCCATTGATATATCCATCCATGGTCGACTGTCAATAGAGATTGGTTGTAGAAGTCCATTGTAGGAATCTCGAGATGGTTTCGATCTTCGACAACTATGGCAGTTTTTGATATATCGAATTATTGTTTTGTCCATGTTTGGCCAGTAATAGTGCTGTTTCATGACTCGCAGCATCTTTCGAGCTCCTGGATGTCCCATAGAAGGTTGTTCATGAACTTCTCTCAACAAGTCCACCTGAATGGTTTCTGGCACCCAAACTCGATTTTGATATTCTAGCATGCCGTTTTTGAGTTCGCAATAAGCCAATGCAACCTCTTTGCTTGTTCGATCACCATTCTCAAGCTTCTGTAGTGTAGCCTTGCAGAATTTGTCTTCCAGTTGAGACTTTTGGATTTTCTCAAGAATTGTCATTTCTCTGATATGAGTTTCCACTGGAGCTAGCTGAGCTGTTTGGCCTTGTTCTTTGAGTTTCTGAATGTCTGGATGTAGCCTCGAAGGTGGTAGCAACACCTGAAGCTGTTGCTTTTGTCGATCATCCTCATCATTGCCTTCTGGTCTGTCACCAGGCCTTCGAGTCAAAGCATCTGCTTTTCCATTTTGCTTCCCAGGCCTATAGATGATCTGGAAGTTGTATCGAGAGAGGAATTCAGCCCATCGAGCTTGTCTTCTTGTCAGCTTTTTGGTGGACATGAAGTATTCCAAGCTTTTGTGATCAGACAAGACTTGGACTGGAAAATCTGTCCCTTCAAGTTCTGGTCTCCATGCTTCGAAACATCTGATGATTGCAAGCAATTCCTTGTCATATATCTCGTAATTGCATTCTGCAGGTGCTAGCTTTTTCGAGAAGTATGCCACTGGATGTAGAACCCCTTGATCATCTTTTTGTGATGAGATGAAGTCTGAGGAATCTGCTTCGACATAGGCTGTCTTGTTTCTATCGAAATGCCTCAAGACAGGAGCTTCTGTGACTGTTTGTTTCAACAGCTCAAATGCAGTTTGGCATGCATGAGTCCATTCGAATATCTGATCCTTTCTGGTAAGGTTCACCAATGGCCTCATGATGCTGGAGTAATTTCGGATGAACCTTCGATAGAAATTGCAGAATCCAATGAAAGCTTGTATATCCCTGAGCGATTTTGGAGTTCGCCATTCCAATATAGTAGAAACCTTTGCAGGGTCCATGCGAATGCCATTGACTCCCACGATGAGTCCTAGGAATTTGGTTTCTTGGACGAAAAACTCACATTTTGAGATATCTGCTTGCAGTCCAGCTTCTCGAAGCTTCTGTAGGACTTTCCTTATGTGCTCTGTATGCTCCGCTCGAGTAGCACTGTAGATAAGAATGTCATCCATGTATGCGGTGACGAATTGGTTGAGGTAATCCATGAGGGTTTCATTCATGTACCTCTGGAATGTTGCTGGACCATTTGTGAGTCCGAAGGGCATGACCTTGTATTTGTAGAATCCAAATCGAGTTCTGAATGTAGTGAGGTCTTCATCTTCTTCTGTCTGCATTCGAATTCGATTGAAGGCATGTCGAATGTCCAGTTTGGTGAGATATTTTGCTCCTATGACTTGGGCCAGCGTTTCATCAATGAGTGGTATGGGATATCGATCCTTTTTCGTTATGGCATTTAGCTTCCTGTAGTCAACACAGAATCGAAGACCACCACCTGGCTTTCTCACAAACATAATGGGTGAAGAGTATGGGGCTTTGCTTGCTTCAATGAACCCTTTTGACAAGTGCTCGAAGACATATTCTTCGACCAAATCAAGTTCTTCCTTTGACATATTCCAGAGTGGTGCATATCCCAGCTTTGCGTCACCTTCGAGTTCAATATGATGGTCTGAAGGTCGATGGGGAGGTAGCTTGTCTGCTGCCATTTTTGAAAAAACATCCAAAAATTCATGAAATTCCTTCGGAAGGATCAGTCGAGAGTCAATTTCTTCAGTTTTGGTCTTGTTCTTGTGCTCGATTATGTCCTTCATTAATATAGCAAAGACTTGAGCTCCTCTTTGCTTCATGAGCATTCGAAATGGTGCTGCACCAATCATTGCTATGGTGCAAGGTTTTGGTTTTTCCACTTTCGGAGCAGGTTCCGGAGGAGGCATTTCTTTGGCTTTCTTCTTTGGCCTTTGTCTTTCGCTTTTAGATATAGGCTCTGTTTCGAGGGCTCGATCTGGTATAGAATGGTTGCAATAATCTCCAGTGAAGAGGACTTGATCATTGATCATATCGAGAACAACTCCATGTTGCTTCATCCAAGCTTTCCCGAGAATGATGGAATGTTTTCCCAGCGAAGTAATGAATAATGGACATAGGCTTTCCACATGCTCTCCCACTTGTAGTCGAGGATATATAGCATGTGTGATAGCAGGGGCAGCCTCTCCATTGAATCCTTCAACTTGTTTTGGCTTCACAAGTTCGACTGGGGCTATCCCTTCGATTTCACATATTCTTTCTGCATCAGCAGCATTAATGAAGTTTCCACCTGTGGCACCAGTATCGATCAATGCATGGACAATAGCTTTGTATTTTCCTATTCTACAAGTAGCTAAGAAAGGGGTGTCCGGATCAAAACTGGATCTCGAGGAAGAAGCTGCAATTCTGGCTGCACTGCCTCTAGTGATGACTTGTCTAGAGGCTATTCGTTTTCTGAATCGATGATAGACTCAGCTGTAGATACCTCATTCACTTGAGCTTTGAGCTTCTGGGGACAGACTCGAGCTCGATGTCCATTTTGTCAGCATATGAAGCATTTCCCAAGTTTCATGAGCATTTCTTTTGCTGAATCTTGATGCGGTGGTCGATACAGCTTCTGCGTCTTGTTTTGCATGTTCGAATCCATTGTAGGTTGAGGGATTGAAGTTCGAAGTGCCTGGCCCTGATTTTGAGTTTGGCCCATGTTGTTCGAAAATGACTTTGGCTTCCTTTTGTCTTCTTGTTCCTTGATCCGCTGAATGTTCTGGTCGATGAGCATGCATTTCTTTGCAAACTCGTGAAGTGTAGTAGCTCCAACTTCAGCCACTAAGGCTTTCTGCATCTGTTGGTTGACTTTGAAGCGCAAGTCATCCAGCAAAGTTTCTTCAGAGTAATCAAGCTCTGTCGTGAGCCTTTGGAACTCAGCCCAGAACACTGCAAAGGTGTTGTTTCTCTGATACAGCTTTCGATACTCAGTTTGAGCTGTGTGCCTTCGATCGGGATCACTGAAGACTTTTTCCAAAAGTTCGAGAATTTCTTCTGCTGTCTGCAATTTGTTTGTAGAGTTTGGTCGAAGCCTTGGATTGACATGTCGAACTGCCAGTCCTCCCAGTCGACTCTGAATGTAGCTCATTTGTAAAGTCTGTGTTGGAAAATGATCAATGTTGGCTTCGAGCTTGAGGCGAATTTTCACAACCCAGTCTTCAAATGCTGGCTCTATCCCATCTGTGAGGATTGGAGGGTCTGGAATCCGAGCTGACAGTCGACTGTGAGAGTGGTGTCCTGGTTCATTCTTCAGAGCTTGTTGGGTTTGCTTTTCAAGATATTTCTGAATTGTTTGTTGCTCTGTGATTTGTTGCTCGTTGCTCTGGATCAGTTCCTGTAACTGGAGAATGGCATCATCCTTTTCAGCCAGTATCGAATTTGAGTCCTCTGCTAGGGCCAAATAGTCCCGAAGAATGTTCTTGTGCAAAGTCCATGCCATTTTCTGGTTGGCGACAGATAGTTTCTGGAATTCGTCAAAGGTTTCAACATTCCATTCAGCCTTTTCATGTCGATTTGCAAGTATAGATTCATGTCTCTCTTGAGCTGTTTTGCCCAGAGTGTGAAGGAAGGTTTCGGATTTGAAATTAGGATCATGAAGTTCATTGGTTTGGTTTGCAGAGCTTGGAATTGATGCTCCTTCTGCCAGGGATTCCTGGTCTTGTTCTGGATCATTTCGAGCTGCCATTGCAGCTTTTTCTTCAGCTGTATAAGCCATAGCGAGTTGCTATTTCAATTTCGGTTTATATCGTCAAGTCAGACACATATTGCCAAAGGCCCTATTGTGCCGTAGGAGCCACTCGAGAAGAGCGCACTTCCCTCACAGTTATATCCTTGTCGAGGGAGCGTTGTAAAAGGTCTGACTTGCGAAGGTGGTGTGTGTGTGTCGAGCTGACTGTCGAAAGCCAACTTTGAGGGGTTGCCTTGAGATCGTCCTGGAATCGACTTCAGGATAAGGTTTCTGGTTCTGGGGTTTTCAAAGAGTGGATTTCGATTTCGATTTCAGAAGAGTGTTCAGCTCAAAGAGCAGGAAAAGAGGTATAAGAGAGATTGAGTTTTATGTCACGGTTCACCAAGGCATAGGGAGCCAGTTGGTGTCATACTGACATTCGTTGCACTCAGTTTGCTATCAAACTCAAGAGCAAACTTAGAAATCTCCTCCTCAAACCTACAAGTCACCATACATATCTTGGCTTATCACACCAACAACAGAAGCAATACTACTCAACGATTGCTGCAAACTCTTCTACTACATCTGTTTATGCTACATACATCACAGCATATCATTTGGACACTCATTGAACAAGTTATTAAGAAAATCTCCTCCTTAAGGGGGTGGGCCAATACTACCACATGGCATATCTCTACCAACTAGAGGCCTAGGAACATGAACGATAGCTCTAGAAGCTTCTACAACCCTCTATGATTCATTACACACCATCACTCCTTAGTTACCCACAAGATTGGTTAAGTTATGACATAATTTATCTATAGGTACTCTGACCTTGGACCTCCTTTTCACTTCCTATAGGCTAGGAACCCAAGAGATGGTTCTATGGGATTCTCTTACGTCGACTACAGTTACCAAGCCTGGTTAGTCATGGAAAGTCTTGGAAAATGAGAGAACTACACTCCTTTAGCATAAATAGGATTGCCCTTTCCTTAAAGCAGACAATACAGTAAATCGACTATCACATACTTCCACGTCTTTTCCAAGCTTCCAAGCATTGATCTTGTTACTCCTTGTTTCTGAAAAGTCAGTGAGGTGTTAACCTCTGACTTACCCCTGAGTTCCCAGACTCAACATTTGTTGCAACTGGTCTGAACCACTTCACTACATCACACACCTGATTGCTGCGTTGTGGAATAGTCTAAGCTACGACCCTTTGGCTCTGTTTTCTAAGACAGTGTGTTGTCTTAGTAAATTCATCCCTTCCTTGGGTGGCTAGATTCTCACATCTGGTGCACCCACCATTACACCAAGGAAGGGGTGATTTTACTAAGACAACACACTGTCTTAGGAAACAGAGCCAAAGGGTCATAGCTTAGACTATTCCACAATGCAGCAATCAGGTGTATGATGTAGTGGAGTGGTTTAGACAAGTTGTAACAAATGTTGAGTCTGAGAACTCAGGGATAAGTCAGAGGTTAGCACCTCACTGACTTTTCAGAAACAAGGAGTAACAAGATCAATGCTTGGAAGCTTGGAAAAGACGTGGAAGTATGTGATAGTCGATTTACTGTATTGTCTGCTTGCCCTTTCTTAAGGAAAGGGCAATCCTATTTATGCTAAAGGAGTGTAGTTCTCTCATTTTCCAAGACTTTCCATGACTAACCAGGCTTGGTAACTGTAGTCGACGTAAGAGAATCCCATAGAACCATCTCCTAGGTTCCTAGCCTATAGGAAGTGAAAGGAGGTCCAAGGTCAGAGTACCCCTATAGCAAATTATGTCATAACTTAACCAATCTTGTGGGTAACTAAGGAGCGATGATGTGTAATGAATCATAGACAGTTGTAGAAGCTTTTGGAGCTATCGTTCATGTTCCTAGGCCTCTAGTTGATAGAGATATGTCATGTGTAGTATTAGCCCAGTAACTAAGGAGTGATGTCATGTAATGAATCATAGAGGGTTGTAGAGATATGCTATGTGGTTATATCGGCCCAGTAACTAAGGAGCAATGACGTGTAATGAATCATAGAGGGTTGTAGCAATCGTTGGGTAGTATTGCTCTTGTTGTTGGTGTGACAAGCCAAAATATGTATAACGTAGGTCATGGCGTAATGGGGGTAATGGCGTAACGGGGGTAGTGGGGTCGGAACCACCCCATCAAACCACTACCACCTTTAAAAAATTGAAATTGTTCAATTACTACTAGGCTAATTCATCTAAATCGCTGTCATATATCTCTTCTTCACCCTCTCTGTCTATTTCCTCAATTGTAGCTTCCTCTATAAGTCGTGGTGTTGTTCTAGGCCTCTGTGAAGCTGTTGCTGTTGCTGCTTCTGCTTCTGCTACTTGCGACCGGAGTTCTTCTGTAGAGATGTGGAATTGACCCTTCAAAACAGCTCTTTTACCCTTCTTTTGCTCCCTTCTTTTCTGAATTATGTTGCGCAAGTTATCCGTCTCTCTTTGCTGTAGTATGTGGCGTGTGTTAAGCCTCTCTGTCTCATCTGCTAACTTATGAATATATCGCTTTGTAGGAGTGTTCAAAACACCACCACGACTTATTGTAGAAGAGAGAACTGTATTTGCTTTGTGAAGTGTCTGAAAATGAGGAGGACTGCTATTCAAAAATACTTTCTCAAAAATATCATGCTCTGTTGGAGTCCTTGGCCGTTCTAAGGGTGCGTCTGTTGTAGGAAGTGTAGCTGCGCGTATGACTGTCTGTGGCTGGAATGGCTGTAACCCACTCCCTCTCCAAGCAGAAGTTATATTTGAATTTGAAAATGCAGCTGCTCTTGCTTGTATGTATGCATCCATCCATTCTGCTTTCTGTATGCGTAGGAGCTGCGCCTCATTAAGGTGCGAGAGGGCTGTTGTGAGGTGTTTTTTCAAAGGTCCAAAAATTGCAACATCAAGTGGCTGTAACACATGAGAGGTATGTGGAGGTAGTATAAGTAGCGATATGCGATTCTGTATGCAGTGTGATATGAAGCTCCCGCTTATATGGCTGTCATGGCCATCACAAATAAGGAGCCTTTGTTGTAGTTGTCCATTTGGAAGTGTTGCTTTTGCTCTTGTAGAGGGCTCAAAAACGCGTTTTAGCCACTCTAATCCATGAAGATTGCTTGTCCACCCTTTTGTATTTGCAGAGAAGTGCCATTTGCTTATAACCTCCTTTGGAATCCAGCTCTGTAGTATATTCTGTCCCTTGAAGATAATGAGGGGGTCGGTGGTTGTTCCATCCATGCAGATGCACTCAACAGCAGACACCCATTCCTGCCGGCCTGGATGGGCTTGAAAACGCGTCCTAAGGCTTGAATCCACGATAATTCTTGTTGATTGCATTGTTCCAATTGAAAACCCAGTCTCATCCATGTTGTAGGTGTTGTGATTTTCGATTTTTAGCTCTGTTGTGAGGCTCTTGTACGCATCAAACCACGCCTTCAACACCTGCTTTGTGACCCCATTCATCCTTTGTGCCTCAACCCTCCTTCCTAACTTAACACGTAAGTTAGGATGCCTTTGAATGAACCGTGGCACCCACTCTTGCCCAAGAGGTAAGTTAGGGATTTGAGGTTGTGTCTGTTGAGTTGGTCGGGTCTGCTGAGTTGGTCGGGTCTGCTGAGTCGGTCGGGACTGCTGAGTCGGTCGGGTCTGCTGGGTTGGTCGGATCTGCTGCTGAGCCGGTTGGTTTGATGGGGTCTGCCAAGCCACTAGTTAGAAATAGCCGAGTCTGCCAGTCTATAGCAGGTTTGATGGGTTGGTAGTTGACCTGACTGAGCTGGTCAACTAACTCTGTAGGTCGGCTCACCTGGGTTTGGAAGACCCGACACTTGTTTGACCGGACTTCCTCTGCAACCTCACGTAATATCCGATGGCTAGGAGCGTAACCACTTCCAGTAAGCTCTTTAATCCACTTTGAGAGGGTCTGCTCTTGAGTTTTTGATAGGAGTTGCTGGTGCTGGCGTGCTTCTACACGTGTGTGCCTTCCATTTATGCGACAGCGGAGGGTCTCCTCTGGTAGCCCTAAAGCTTTTGCAGCAGCATATATTGATTTGTATTGATTTGATTTAATAGCTAATATAGCTTTTTGAATTTGAATTTCGCGTTCTTGAGCCTTTATACTCTTCTGACGGACCATTCTAGCATAGTAGTAGTAGTAGTTAATAGGGTTGTAGGTTTGATGGGGTGGTTCCGACCCCACTACCCCCGTTACGCCATTACCCCCGTTACGCCATGACCTACGTTAGTGACTTGTAGGTTTGAGGAGGAGATTTCTAAGTTTGCTCTTGAGTTTGATAGCAAACTGAGTGCAACGAATGTCAGTATGACATATACCCTAAACCTCAACCCCTATATATCAATTACTTACTGGAACTTGTGTACTACGCTCCCTGGAGTTTGACTACCCTACAATCATAGATTCTAGTTGAACTTCTCATATTCGTATGTAATCCAGGCTTGTAGGCATTGAGTTATATGTAAAGACTGTATAAGCTACTGGTAATATTAGCGCTAGGACGACGTCGAACAAGTAAGGCTGCTGCACAAACAGTAAGAGCAATCAACTCTAGCTCTTTAGTATCCAACATTAGGTTATATTACTATAACCTCCTTTATTGTTACATAATATAGTAGCTACGTCACAAAGATATTTTATAACGAAAGTGGTGGTCGAATAGGGGTAATTTGCAGTGGTGGCAGTCGCAAAAGGGTATATATAGGTACTTCCACTTGCATATATATTTGTATGGCAATAGAAGTATTGCAATGTATCTTTTTGCGCTTGCTACCACCACACCTGCCTAGTTCCAAAGCACTTACTGAAAATTAATCAAAGGTCAATACTCTACAGAGGGAACAAAGGGCTCTACGTCACATAGGGGATTACAAAGGGAACGCCGTAGGGGGTATGGCCGGAAGAGGAGAATTACATACAATTTACTAGTAATTTCCTATATAAATTAGCTATCTAAAGACTGATCATGATCTAACTTTTCTACACCAATCAATACAGTCAATATCGCCAAACTGACAATATATCACCAAAACTACAACTTCCTACACCTCACCCTTTTGATATTGCCTAATTAGGAGGTATGGTAAGCACTAAACAAGGATTCTATTGCTCTAATACTAATATAATCCAGTAGTACTCTAGTACTGCTTGGCATCACCAGATTAGGCAGTGTTAAGCTGACGACTGTCGAACACTGCTGAATCGCTCTACATGCCACTATGGTTAACGTGGTTTATCAGTACGTCGGACATATCAGTACCTCGGACACTTTTCCCGAATTTCCTACCCTCTAACTTCACAACGCGTTTTTTCCACCTTTTATTATGTCAGTGATTACCCAAGAAGCAAAAATCATTCTAGCTATCGAGGCTATCCGAACATCAAAAAATCTAAGTCGTCGGAAGGCTGCTAAGCTCTATGAAGTACCTCATTCTACACTCTGCGACAGAATGAACGGCCGAACTACTGTCTACGAACGCCGGCCTGCAATGATGAAATTAACTATACTAGAAGAGGAGGTGGTTATTCGGAATATACTTGATATGGATTCAAGAGGATTTGCACCCCGGCTTGCTGGTGTAGAAGATATGGCAAATTTTATACTCGAGTCGCGTGGAGGGAGGCGCGTCGGGAAGCTCTGGGCCCACCGATTTGTACAACGACGTCCAGAATTAAAGACGCGTTTTAATCGCGTTTACGACTTCCAAAGGGCCTTGTGCGAAGATCCTGAACTAATTGGCGCGTGGTTTCGACTAGTGGAAAATATGAGGGCAAAATATGGTGTTTTGGACTGCGACTTCTATAACTTTGACGAAACTGGGTTTATGATGGGTGTGATTTGCCCTGCAATGGTTGTTACCCGTGCAGATCGACTTGGCAGAGGTAAGGCAGTTCAGCCAGGGAATCGGGAATGGGCTACAGCGATTGCTTGTATCAACAGTGACGGCTGGAGTATTCCTCCATTTTTGGTAGTTAAAGGCAAGAATCATCTTGCAAATTGGTATACAGACGGCGGCCTTCCACACAACTGGGTTGTTAAACCGACAAGCAATGGATGGACAAACAATGAGACGGGTCTAGAATGGTTGAAACACTTCGACAAACATACTGCTGTTCGTGCAAGGGGTCCATATCGAATGCTGGTGTTAGACGGGCACGAGAGTCATGAATCGGCCGAGTTCCAAGAGTACTGCAAGGCACACAACATTATAACTCTTGGACTACCTCCCCACTCGTCTCATTTAACTCAGCCACTTGATGTCGGGTGCTTTAGTGTGTTGAAGCGGGCATATGGTCGGCAGATTGAGACCTTCATTAAGGCTCATATCAACCACATTACCAAGGTCGAGTTCTTTCTCGCCTTTAGAGCAGCATATCTGGAATCCATGACAGCCCAAAACGCCCAGTCCGGGTTCCGCGGAGCTGGCTTAGTGCCTTTCGACCTGCAAGCAGTGCTTTCAAAGCTTGACGTGAGGTTACGGACTCCAACTCCCTCTAGACCCTCTACTGCCAACACCAACCCTTGGGTCTCCCAGACCCCTTCCAACCCAACTGAAGCTCTTTCACAAACAACCCTCGTTCGAAATCGAATTGCCCGTCACCAAGGAAGCTCGCCAACTCCACTCTTCGGGACAGTTATTGCATTGGCAAAGGGTACGGAGCGACTAGCACATGAGAACACCCTTCTGTCTGCTGAGGTACGTACCCTTCGAGCAGCCAACGAAGCCCTTAGCAAACGCCGCAGGGCTAAAAAGGCTCGTGTCCGTGAAGGAGGTGCACTTATAGTAGAGGATGCACAGGCTATTATCGCACAGAAGGATGTGGATGAGCAGGTACGACGCGACGTACGTGCTGTTGGGGGTAGTCACAAGGAGGGGCAACCGTCTAGGCGATGCTGTGGGATCTGTGGAAAAGCTGGTCATAATGCGCGAACTTGTCAAGAAGCTATAGATATGTCTAGTTCATCTGATTCCGCTTAGTTATAGTTAATTTAATATGTTATGGTTGATTTATTGATATTCAAAGTAGAATGCCAATGAAAAGTGTCCGAGGTACTGATATGTCCGACGTACTAATAAACCACGTTACCATTGTTGTTAACGCACCACTACACCTCAGCAATATCTCCTACATTTTAGGTTAACGTAAGTCATGGCATAACGCAAAGGGTGGTGTAACGCAAAAAAGTCACTCTGCACCAAAATATGTTTATAAAGCTACTTAAAATGAGAAAAACCAAAAATGCAATAACTCTTTTAATAATAATCATAGACTCTAATACTTTTGTATATGATATCTATATAGACCTATAAGATACTATTAAAACTGATTTAGAAATGTCTTTACTAATTAGGGAGTTATTAAAATTTCACCTAATATTTTGTATAAAAAACACCAAAATATAAATATCTATGGAATTACGCAGTAGAAGTAGACACCCTTCAAAACTATTCATTAACGTAGGTCGTGGCCATACCGGGATGGTGAGGTAAGCGAGCACTTAACTAACCCATCAAACCCATCAACCAACACACCAAACCTATCAATTACCCCATTATTATGGTACGCAAACGGAGTTTAAAAGCTCAAGAACGCGATATTCTAATACTTGAAGCAGTAGCTGGAGTAAAATCTGGTTTATATAAAACTGCAAATGCTGCTGCAAAGGCCTTACATCTAAGGCCTGATACAGTTGTTAGCCGCATTAAAGGGCGACATACCTCACATAAAGAAGCACATTTAAAACATCAATTACTCTCCCAAACCCAAGAAAAGACCCTTTTAAAATGTATCAAAAATCTTACTGCAAGTGGTTACGCTCCTAGCCATCGCATATTACGTGAGGTTGCAGAGGAAGTCCGGTCAAACAAGTGTCAGGTCTTCCAAACCCAGGTGAGCCAACCTACAGAGTTAGTTGACCAGCTCAGTCAGGTCAACTACCAACCCATCAAACCTGCCATAGACTGGCAGACTCGGCTATTTCTAACTAGTGGCTTGGCAGACCCCATCAAACCAACCGGCTCAGCAGCAGTCCCGACCAACTCAGCAGTCCCGACCAACTCAGCAGTCCCGACCAACTCAGCAGACCCGACCAACTCAACAGACACAAACTCAACAACCACAACTCCAACTACCTAAGTTACCACTTGGGCAAGATTGGGTGCCACGGTTCATTCAGAGGCATCCTAACTTACGTGTTAAGCTAGGAAGAAGGGTTGACGCACAAAGGATGAATGGGGTCACAAAGCAGGTGTTGAAGGGGTGGTTTGACGCATACAAGAGCCTCACAACAGAGCAAAAAATCGAAAACTACAACACCTACAACATGGATGAGACTGGATTTTCAATTGGAACAATGCAATCTACACGAATTATAGTCGATTCTACACTTAGGACACGTTTTCAGGCACATCCAGGAAGGCAGGAATGGGTCTCTGCTGTTGAGTGCATCTGCATGGATGGAACAACCACCGACCCCCTCATTATCTTCAAGGGACAGAATGTACTACAGAGCTGGATTCCAAAGGATGTTATAAGCAAATGGCACTTCTCTGCAAATACAAAAGGATGGACAAGCAATCTTCATGGATATGAGTGGCTAAAACGCGTTTTTGAGCCTTCTACAAGAGCAAAAGCAACACTTCCAAATGGACAACTACAACAAAGGCTCCTTATTTGTGATGGCCATGACAGCCATATAAGTGGGAGCTTCATATCACACTGCATACAGAAATCGCTCCTTATACTACCTCCACATACCTCACATATACTCCAACCACTTGATGTTGCAATTTTTGGACCTTTGAAAAGACACCTCACAACAGCCCTCTCACACCTTAATGAGGCGCAGCTCCTACGCATACAGAAAGCAGAATGGATGGATGCATACATACAAGCAAGAGCAGCTGCATTTTCAAATTCAAATATAGCTTCTGCTTGGAGAGGGAGTGGGCTACAGCCATTTCAACCGCAGACAGTTATCCGCGCAGCTACGCTTCCTACAACAGATGCAGTAATAGTGCGGCCAAAGACTCCAACAGAGCATGACATTTTTGAGAAAGTATTTCTGAACAGCAGTCCACCTGATTTTTCAACACTTCACAAAGCAAATACAGTACTCTCTTCTACAATAAGTCGTGGCATTCTCAACACTCCTACAAAGCGATATATTCATAAGTTAGCAGATGAGACAGAGCGGCTCAATACATGCCACATACTACAACAAAGGGAGACAGATAACTTGCGCTCAATTATTCAGAAGCGCAGAGTACAAAATAAGGGCAAGAGAGCAGTTTTGAAGGGTCAATTCCACATCACAACTGAGGAGTTGCAGTCGCAAGTAGCAGAAGCAGAAGCAGCAACAACAGCTACATCACAAAAGTCGAAAATATCAACAACTCCACAAGTTACAACATCTATAATTGATCTAATTGATGATGGGAGTGAGGAGGAGCTATTTGACAGTGATATAGATGAATTAGCATGGTAATGGTAGAACTATTTTCAATTTTTTTGAAGCTGCTCATATTTTGAAGGGGTGGCTTACCCCACCATCCCGGTATGGCCATGGCCCCGGTATGGCCACGACCTACATTATATTAGTTTGTTTATTACTCATTTGTTGCGTGTGTAACGCTGACTTCTAAACGATAGAAGACACAGAGGTTTGTTGCGTAAGTTTACTTGACAGAGGAGGCAGGGGATTAGACACAAAGGCTTTCCAAGTAACACGTTACAGTATTGTAAAGAATACTATATTGAGTTGAGCACGAAGCTCCTATCTAAGGAAATACTATCTACTTATATAGTGGCATCGTGCCTCATGGGTAATATGGATAGTTGGCGGATAGCTAGATATTCAGGATAGTTCGTGGATAGCTCAACTATCCAATATCCACTAGTTTCTGCAACTATCCATTAGCCCCGTCACATAGCAGCCTACCCCGCTTGCCCCCTGTGACTCACACGTCACGTTACTAGGCCCTGGCCCTGTAACCATGATGTCATGTTACTGTAGCTGTAACAGTGTGCTAGAGAGATTAGAAGGTGTTTTAGGAGAAGTATGGCAAGTTCTTGTCTATAACGAGACTCTACAGTACTCTCTAGGAGGAGCGTACAGCAGCTGATAAAGCTGATGTAGATATAGCAAGGAAGGAAGCTGATTTTACAGCTACTTATATGCATTGTAGGTGTAAGAGAGCCTTGGCTGAACAGGGCAGTGGGAAGTCACATTGTAGATAGTTACGTAGTCCAGCTCTCTATTGATACGAAGACTGAACGCTGCCCTTCCGATTAAGGGCCGCGTTCCTACTACAGTCGAGTCGCGCTAAGTCGATTCGCGATTAGTCGATTATCGCGATAACTCGGTATTTTTCTTTGGCCCAAATTAATTCCTCATACAAATCGCGATTCACTCGATATTGACCTCATTCCCCAAATTATAGACTTATCGGATGAATCGATGCCTCCAATTCGGCTGTACACAATGACGACTGAGCAGCGTCACGCGCTCAGAAGTTGGTTCTCTCGACAGTATCCTCGACCTACCCAGAGAGCCTGTATTGAATGGTTCCAACAGCAGTATAATCACCGTCTTACCCAGTCAACAGTCTCTGATTCCTTAAGCTCTCGATTTACTAGCCTAGACGGCCCTGTTTCGAGCACCCCTCTTACTGCCAAACGACGTAAAGCTCCTGCTTGGCCAGAGCTCGAGGCTGCTCTTTTCAAGTGGCAAAAGCGCATTGAAGAAAAAGGAGGGATAACAACTGGGGATATATTGCAAGAGAAGGCGAAACAAATCTGGCAGTTGTTACCATAATACACGGATAAGCCTATACCTAATTTTAGTATAGGTTGGCTCGACAATTTTAAGAAACGACATCAGATCAAAAACCATGTTAGACACGGCGAAGCAGGTTCAGTTCCTACAACAGCAGAAGACGAGATGAAGGCAATTCAAACGCTAGCAGGAGATTTCAAAGAGGAAGATATATATAACATGGATGAAACAGGGCTTTACTGGAGGATGACACTGTCAAGGGGACTCTCATCACAAGGAAGGGCCTGGATTGAAGAAAGACAAGGCACGCATTACTGTTGCAGTTTGTACCAATGCTACAGGTTCAGACCGATTCCGACCTTGGTTTATTGGCAATGCAAAGGTGCCACACGCCTTACGACGAGTTAATGTTTCAACAATGGGAGGAGAGTGGAGATGGAACAAGAAGGCATGGATGAATCAATATATCATGGCGGAGTGGTTACAGGCCTTTTACCTCCATATAGGAAGTTCTAGATCTATACTCCTTACCATGGACATCTCTGCACACATTGCAGCTATTAAAGATAATCCTCCTCCTCCGAACATACGGATTATTTGGCTACCTCCAAACTCGACAAGTCGATTCCAACCACTTGACCAAGGCATTATAGCTTCTCTAAAAGCTCATTACCGTCGACAATGGCTTGAATTCATGCCTACATCATTTGAGAACAACACCAACCCTCTTGATCTTATGTCTCTTCACTTTGCACTTCGCTGGCTAATTCACGCTTGGTATCACGATGTTACGAATACAACTATCTATAACTGTTTCCGCAAAAGCACTATAGTTGTTCAACCGTTACAGCTGCCTCTTGAACCTCTCCCTACGCTAAGCAACCTATACAATCAAGTTAACAATGCTGGGCATATTCGCGATGCTATGGACCTTGCAAACTTCTTAAATCCAGCTGATGAATCAGTACAAGAGGAGGCAAGTAATAGTGATGATATATTACAAGACGTTGTTTCACAATATATTCAGGATACCCAAGATGATGAAGACGGAGAGCAACCTGAACAGCCAATATACTCTATAGAAGCTGCTCAACAGGCTCTGCAAGTTCTGATTAGGTATACTGAGTCTAAAGATGGGGTTGATACAGCATATCTACGCTCATTTGAGCGATTTGAGCGGTTGTTAAGGTCTGAGGGGGTCGCTCAGCTGTCACAGGGCACATTGGACCAGTGGATGATGTAATAGCTTGGCAAATTTGATATCTCGGTTTTCTTGATAAGTCTATATATTTTAGCTGCCTACAATGTATCGACTTAGCGCGACTCGACTGTATATACGTTCTCGTGCAGGATACCAAGGGAAGACCCTCCCACTTGGCACAGCAGCACACGTGACTCGACTCAGCATGTGAGGCTGCTCGTGACAGTAGGGCACGAGGGAAAAGAGCAGTACTTATGAGAAGGATATTGATATTGCTTGTTTATGGCGACAGTCCTCATTGCTCTGCCAAAGTCACCCATCGATCCGCGATCTCAGAAAATCCCTCCATCTCTAATTGCCTATCGACCAAAAATTTGAAAAACTCTCGCCCTAGCCGCAAGTTGGGCCAACAATGACGGTGTTGGAACGGTATAGAGGAATTTATAAAACAGTGTTTACATGGCTTTATTTCAAAATTCTCGTTGGAAACGAGGAATCACCGAATTCTATATTTCCACTTTTTTTCTTATCTTATCTTATCTAATCCAATCTAATATATATACTATTCCTAATATAGTAATTACCTTACCTAATTTAGTTAGAGCCATCTATATTCAAATATTTATGAATATGAATATGTGAATAGTTTTTATTCATGAATATGAATATAGCCTAGTATTCAAGTTTATATTCGAATTGCTAACCCTGTTTGGCGGCGCGAATATGTGAAGTCGAACGTCATATTTGAGATAAGAAAGACGGGCACTATCGTGGTCCGATAAGCGCTGTACCTGAACGATATTTGACGAGCCTCTCCAACTTCCCTTGCATCGACACCAAACATTACACAATTGCTCCTTCCGTCGATAATCGAATTGTATGTAATGATCGAGATGTATTCTTGCCGAAGCCCTTGAGTCGTGGCCCAGGATATCGACCTGCCCTTTCGTTAGCTCTGTCAACTAGAATTGAGGATAACGTTCACGCATCGACCTCTATCACCATGGGGAAATCACTTCTCGCTCATTGAGACTCCCAAGCAGATGGCGCTTTCAATGGCGAAATGCAGTTATCCTGCTACTTGTCATCCTGATCTGTGCTTCGTACACGATTTCAATCCCCGCTTTTGAACCAAAGATTGGATCGGATGATCTGTTCGCCAAGGCAAACACTGCTCTCGGGGAAGATGATGGAGCACAACAGGGTATGAATCTAGCAATGATGCCTGGAGGCAAGAAAGACGGAAATGCCCTTGAGCCACTTATAAATGCAGTCGATGTTATGCAAACCCACTACTTCCAGGTATGGACAGGACTTTGGCCAACAGCAATCGACTGGACATCAGCCGTCATCGCGACCCACATAGCAGGCGCCATGAGCACAGTCTCATCAGCAACAAACTACGTACTAGCACCCGGGTTGGAGACTATGCTCTGATACTGGGACCCGAGTCACTCATAAACAGATTCATGTCACATCTGATGGGATTCTACTTCGGACAAGATGCGTTGACTCTCAGGAGCGAAGCTTACGATGACATGCTGTGGGTGGTACTGGAGTGGTTAGAGGCTATCAAGTTCGTCGACTCCCACTCGACTGAACTTCTTTATGCTCAGGGTCTGCCGTCTTGGTATGGAGAAGAATGGATTCCTGGATTTGCTCACCGTGCCCGGATTTTCTGGGACCTGGCTTCGGGAGGTTGGGATGTGTCGGCGTGCGGTGGTGGGATGGTTTGGTCCCCTCATCTGTCGCCTTATAAGAACGCAATTACAAACGAGCTTTTTATCACGGCTTCCATCTCTATGTACCTCCAGTTCCCCAGCGACGACAACGCATCACCTTTTCAAGCCGGAGAAAACAACGGGTCTTCGCGAGCACCAGTGGGGAAGAAAGATCCAAAATTCTTGGACGCAGCCATTGTGGGGTATGAATGGCTCGCCTCGTCGAATATGAGAAACTCAAAGGGATTATACATTGATGGCTTCCATATCAGCCACAACAGACATCATGGCCATGCCGGAGAACGGCACATGGAATGCAACATCCGCAATCAAATGGTATACACCTACAACCAAGGCGTGTTGCTATCTGGCCAACGCGGACTCTGGGAAGCGACGGGGTCCCGAGAGTACCTCGAAGATGGCCACGCTCTGATCTCCAGCGTCATCAACGCTACGGGCTTTGATCTTGATAGTCAAAGTGTATATACCGAAGCCGCCAGCAACAACTCCAGTCACCCACGCTTAGGGACATGGCATGGCATCGGCCGTCACGGGATCCTGGAGGAGGCATGCGATGCTTACGGCAACTGCAGCCAGGACGCGCAGACTTTCAAAGGAATATTCTTCCACCACTTCGCCCTTTTCTGCGAGCCACTGCCGGCATACGTGGTTAAGCCCGGGGAGACGGTTGATATACCCACGTTCGAGAAGTTAAAGGCGTGGCATGTGCAGAAATGTAAGAGCTACGGAGCTTGGGTTCAGAGAAACGCAGCAGCAGCGAAAGAAACGCTTGATTCGGATGGCAAGGCGGGTATGTGGTGGGGAGCGCATCTTATGACTGCGTGGGGGACGAATGAAAAGGGGGGGGGGAGATTCCAGAGGGAGCGGTGGATTATAGGAATACTGGCGTCCCGCGGGATAGGGTTTGGAACTATGGACGGGTGATGGAGGGTGCGAAGGAGGGAGAGCTGCGGGGATCGAAGGTCGGGGGGGGGACTGTAAAGGATGCGAATGAGAGAGGGAGAGGGAGGACGGTGGAGACGCAGGGGGGGTTGGTTGCTGTGCTGCGGGCGGCGTGGGAGGCGGTGGAGGGGGGGACATGAGTTATGGAACTTAGAGGGGGGATTGATTGGGATCTGGGTTATTTGCATTATAAGGAAGGAGGCGGCCTTCGGTATTTATACGGAGCGGGTGAGAAGAGCCGCGGGGGAAGGGATAAACGGCACAATTGCTAGGTATTATAATTCATAAACGAGGACCGACCGCCGACCGCTGGGGCCAGCCGAGGCTATGCAAGGGGCCGTTCGACCCGGTGGTGAAGCGAGGCTATGATTGAGAGCTATGAATCTGTGGTGATGTGGAGGAGGCTTGGCGGGTGTTGGTATCGGGGGTTGGTATCGGGGGTTTAGATCGTTATCTTAATTTGCTTCATTGATCAGTAGTAGTTGTACAATTCTCACAGTTCATAGAGTAGTAGTAGTAGGCCAAAAGACGTTGTGTACTGTAAGTGGCATATCGCATTCAAATAAAAGGCCTGCTATCAATACAATTTAATCCAACAAACACTCTCCCCCTTTTTCATCATCACCATCAGAGCTTCGCATCTACCTCTAGATCTCCAACGTAACCTTCTGTCCCTTAACCCGCCCAATAATCTGCTTAGGCGCATACTTGGGAATAACCTCATCATCATGCAACATCTCAAACTCCTCAGTAGCATCCTTCCCCATGAAATTCATGATCGCCTGCGGGCCACCGGGGTGCTCTTCAAGCCAGTCGGAGAGATCCATCACGATGCCCTTGACGACGACCCAGAGGTCCGATTTGCTGTTGTGCTTGGCGACCTCCTCGAGGGTGTACTCTTTCTCTGGGATGGAGAATGTCGCTGGCGCGGATGAGGCAGCGGCGGCGGGGGCGGCGGCAGCAGCTGGGGCTTGGGCGGATGCAGCGGGGGCGCCGCCGGCAGACGCGCCGTCCCAAGAGACGGACACGCGACCGGGCTGCGAGGGGTCGATGTGCAGGGAGATCTGACCCAGACGCTGGTTCGTGCCGCCAGCACTCTTAAGCGCCTGCTGGAAGAGGTAGTTGGCAGCGGTATCACCCGCGACGCGACCGTAGACGACGCATCCGAGGAGAGACGAGCCACCGAGGCGGTTCGCGCCGTGGACGCCTCCCGCGAGCTCACCGCAGGCGTAGAGGCCCTCGAAGGGCTGGCCGGCGGAGTTGAGGATCTGGGCCTGGTCGTTGATCTCGATGCCGCCCATGGTGAAGTGGAGGACGGGCTCCATGACAGCGACGTAGAAGTAGTCATCTACGTTAACCGGGCCGTTGTGGAAGAACTTCTTGCCGTAGGGGTCCTTGTCCTTGCCGTCGGCGATGGAGTTGTACTTGGTGAAGGTGCTCTGGAGGTGCTGCGGGGTGCAGCCGATTTCCTTGGCGAGTTCCTCGCCGGTCATCTTCTTCATGAGGCCGCGGCCGGCGTAGTGGCGGGTGTGGAAGTCGAGGACGTTGGAGGCTTTGGAGTTGAGCACCAAGCGAACGGGGAACTTGCCCTTCTCCTTCTCCTTCCACATCTCGCCGGAGACGTAGTCGCGGTGGCCGAGCTCGTCGCAGAAGCGGTTGCCATCGCCGTTGAGGAGGAGGCCGCCCTCGCCGCGGAGGGCCTCGGCGGCGAGGAACTTCCACTTCGAGCCGGGGTCCTTGGGGTCGACGAGGCCAGTGGGGTGGACCTGGACCTTGTCCATGTCGATGCCGTTGCCGCCGATGGCCATGACCATCTTCTGTCCGTCGCCGGTGGCGTGGACGCCGTTGGTGGAGGAGAGGTTGAAGGTGTCGGGCCTGTGCTTCTTGAGCAGGGAGGTCTCGGAGAAATCGGCGGCATAGCCACCGGTGGCAAGGACAACGGGGCCGTCGAGGACGGCGGGCTTGCCCTCGTACTCGTATGTGACACCGGTGATCTTGTTGCCCTCCTTGTTGATGGAGGTGACGCGGGCCTTCTTGATGATTTGGACACGCTCGGGCTCCTTCTCGGCGAGCTCCTCGAGGCGCACCATCAGGGCGTAGGTGATGGCCATACCGGGGAACTTGGCATCGTGACCTCTGTGAGTTCTTGGCTCGGAGTGTCCTCTGTGTTGGGTGTTAGTAAGAGTCCATGCCAATACGAGGCTTAAAGCACTCACCCAAGACGGGAGACAAGAGTCAAGTCTAGGTTGAACTCGTCTTGCAGCCACTCAACAGCCGAAGCGGACTTGTATGTGAGGACCTTGATGAGATCTGGCCTGGCCTTATCTCTCGCGGACTTGAGGGTATCATTGTAGAAGGTCTTGACGGAATCTGGGATCTTCTGGTCGACCTGTGTCCTGGTAAGGGCACCGTTGATGCCGGAAGTGGCCTGCGGGGAGGATTAGTAACTTGGCAGGAGGCTAACTGAGGTAATTAATAGAACCCACCTTTGTCGAGTTTCCACCGAAGAAGCCCTGCTTATCGAGGACAACGACGTTTCCGCCGTTAAGGTAGATGGTATGCGCGGCACTGAGACCGGACACTGTAATGACATCAGCGGGAGCTCAAAGCCAAGCGAGCGGAGATGTTCAAATAGCACTTACGTCCTCCGCCAACGACAATGATTCTTGGTGCCATTGTAGTGATTTGGGTATATGTACGAGCAGAAGAAATGGGAATGGGAAATGGGAAATGGGAAATGGGTATGATATTTTGGAGGTGGAGGGGAAAAGGGATCGAGAGGAATGTGGATGTGGATGGGTTTTGTTCCCCTGATCTCGCTCCCTCCCACAAGCGCAAGTTCATCCTTCACTGCGGGACTACCGAGGCACTCCATAGCATTTTCCTGCCGCACTGGAGTAAGCGCGGCTGGGGGAGCGAATGGGTGTGCCGATTTCTGTCAGCAGATCAGGTGACTAGCCGGACGCAGCAGACAGCAGGTTATACTCGGTACACATGTTATAGCTGGTCTAGAATATCGACAATACACAATAATACACAGCTAATAAACCACATGCAAAACGGTTAATTGTAAAAATTAACTTGGGGTATTTTTGCAATGATAAATTATACACCCACCCTCACCCACCCACATCTCACCCACCCACATCTCACCCACCCACATCTCACCCACCTACGGAGTACACCCCCCACATATCACCCACCTACACACACCCCTCCCTCACCCACATCTCACCCACCTACACCCCCACATATCACCCACCTACACCCACCCCTCCCTCACCCACATCTCACCCACCTACACCCACCCCTCCCTCACCCACATAATCCTAACGAGTAATAGTGCCCATAATAGTAATACAGTAGTGACATTGTCCCCCCCATATTTTGCGGGGGGACGCTAAGTATCACGCATGTGAAGAGAGGGAATGTTGGAGAAAGACCCAAAGCCCCCCCGCACGTTAACTCCTGCTTACCCCTGTTCCCCTGTTCCCCTGTTCCCCTGTTCCCCTGTTCCCCGTATCCCAACGCACTCGTCTGTGCCGCCCGCCCCAACCAATCTTCGGCTCCCCCCATTTTCTCCAGGCTTGGTGGGTTTGCCACGACGGTCCGGAGGGGAGAGCACTGAATCGTTACGGAAGTTACTGATTGCTACCACCAGCCTCATACAGCCATAGTTACAGCAACAACACCCACCACCACAACTACCACAACTGGCATGTGAAAGGAGGCTCATCTATGTAATGTAGCATCTGAAGAATCATGTAACTTAATGATATTTTAGACAGCAATTATATTATACTGTTGCTCTTGTCCCCTATCTCGCAAACCCTTCCTTTTCCACCAATTCAGTCCCTTTGAGCCGGTTACGTCGCGCCTGTATTTGGGAATCATGAATCCTATTTCACTCACCCGTCTCATCGACTGCAATAAAATGATTTCAATAATTATATCTTAATTGTTGCCCTCTCTCCAGCCAATTCAGTCCCGCCGAGTCAGTTACGTCACGTCACGTCAGTGTTCGTATTGTACAAATTGATATCGCCGCGATTATTCCCACGCCTATAACCCGCGAAACATGTCCTCAAAACGCCAGAACCAGATATACCCCAGATTGCCAGTCGTATAATTCATAATCCCATCCTTTGCGAGACTTTACGCGTAGTTTCGAGCGCCCTTCAAGATCCAGACTTGTCCATTCGCCACCTTGCTTGCAACGCTTGTAACTTCAATGTTCCCTGGCTGAACCTAATGGGGAGGATAGTAGTCAGTTGATGCCCTGCTGGATAACGGTACAGTGACGCCTTGACTTACAACCCTCTTGCCATCCTTCGTCTCCCACCACACCTCTGTGCCCCCAAGGGTCTTCATTTTAGCTCCCTCTGGCCACGGGCTTTCAGGCACAATATGTTCCTCAACAAATGTCCTAAGGTTGGCATGGGCCCTGTCCTCCCCAGGCTTGCCCTCGTATGCCTCTGCGCCTAGTCTGTTGTAATCTTCGTTGGATTCCCAAGGCTTTCGTGGTAGCCCGGTGATAGCGCTATTCAAAGGTGCCAGAACTGTCGTATTCTGTTGCCCGTCGGACAGACGCTCACTGATACCCTCAATATCCCGTGTGAATCCAGCGAATATATTGATAGAGCGATCGCGACCAAGCACGTCGCAGAGGATGACGGAACCGCCTTCTGGCGCGGTTGAGGCGGACGGATCCGATGCCGCTGGAGGCATCACCGGCCCGATATTATCCATGAATGGACTCTGTATGTTTTTTGCAGAGATAGAGTATATAGAAGCAGCTCCAATAAGTAGTGTAAGGGCTCTTGTCGACCGCATTTCGTGGTTGTGAAGTTGCTTCTTCAAGATCGACGAGGCCTTGGTGATCCACACGTAACCGGAATCATAAGTCCGATAATATGGGAAGAGTATGACGACGTTTCGGCTCGCTTAGTCTCCGCCCGCGAGGCTGCGAAACTCTCTTCCCCAGCGTCAGGGCAGACTATTCGGAAATAGGGTAGGGGAAGAAAACAGCCGCGTCGACACCTCCCTGTAAATAATTTATATGATGAACATATACACTGTACCCAGAACCCAGAGCACTGATTTAAGGTTCTTAGAGACCTTCAACGTATATCTGCGTCACAGGTACTCTCCGGGGAGGCTGCGGTTTACAGGACTTGCACCACGCTAAGAGCGGTATTTTCCGCTGGCCACCGGGTTTGAGATCTCCCTACCCAAGAGACAACCCTCACCGGGAACTCAAGCTTCAAAAGAATCATCATACAACAGACTCCTTTAAGGCCATGGTTCTCGCTGCATGAGCGCTGTTGGCATATCTTTGATCTTTTACCGGGTTTGCTCAGGCACCTCCGATCGATCGCTGCGAAGTAGTCTCTTCGGCTCAGCATTCACGATACAAACAAAAATCAGCTCTCCTGACGCAACAGTGAGCCGCTGATTCACCCAGGGAGAACACTTCAGAGTCTCTTATATAGAGTCGGCAGTATCTTTCTGACCCTCTATAATATCTCAACTGCTCATGGTCAACATTCGCTGACATGAACAACCAACCACCACAACCCCCCTCGGGGCTCGATCGCGAGCGGGAGCACGAAGAACTGCATCTGCGCGAGCAGCATATCATGAGGCAACAACAAGAGGAGATGGCGCAGCGTAATCGTGAGCACGAGGAGCGCGAAAGACAGCGTCGGGAACAGCAACAATACCAATCGGTGCCTCAACACCAGAACAACACCGGCACGATCCCAATCCATCAGCCCGTCGCCTCGCGTCTCCCAGGCGCCATCCACAGTCCCGGCGGCCTTCTAGCCAACCATAACGGCTCATCTCAGCTTGGTCCTTTGGGTGCGCCGACGGGTCCTGGGAATGCCTTCGGTGGTCCATTGCACGCCGAGGCCAACCGATCAATCCAGCCGCACAATCAGCAGCAGAATGCCGCGACCCAGCAGCAACATCAAATCTTTGGACCAAACATCATAAATCACGTCGTTGGGCCCGCGGCTCCTATAGGAGTCAACCAGGTCGCTGCGCCTGGGTTTGGAGGACCCCTCCAGCCAGAAGCTGCTGCTCGCTCGATGCAGCAGATGCCGTTTGGAGGCCCTGGTGGAGCTGCGCATCCAGCACAGGGTGCCCCGGCATTGGGACAGGGACAGCAACCGATTTTAAATGTAAGTCTCCTTTGTTACAAACAGCGACAATTATCAGCCCCAAAGTCGGCGTTTGCGTGGAGCTACAGTGGCCACATTGTGGCCTTCCGTCACGACTCCGAACGCTTAGAGACTGTCCCGCTTCATGGCGGCACAGTCGCTATCATTACTGCACAGACACTGACATATATTCTTTAGGACGCGTTAAGTTACCTCGATCAAGTCAAGGTTCAATTCGTCGACCAGCCGGATGTATACAATAGGTTTCTCGATATCATGAAAGATTTTAAGAGCCAAGCGTAAGTCTTCTCGCCAACCCGACCAACGTCACTTTGGCCTCCATTTCATAGCTAACACAATGGAAAATAGTATCGACACTCCTGGCGTCATCAACCGAGTATCGGATCTGTTTGCAGGGCATCCGAACCTTATCCAAGGATTCAATACATTCCTGCCACCTGGGTACCGAATTGAATGCGGCGCTGGCAACGACCCAAATACCATCCGTGTAACGACGCCCATGGGGACCACCGTCCAGTCCATTACTGGGGCTGGCCGTGCCCTTCCTGATGGCCCCCAGGCCGGTGCCAACGGCGGCTACTACCCAGCACAAAGAGGAAATAACAATAACTGGCAACAGCCGCAACACTCCATCGAGAGTCCTGAAGCAGTGTTCAGCCCACAATCTCGCAACGGCGTGCCACCATATGCCCAAGCCCAGGCACCGAATGCCGTGTACGAATCACAACAGGCGGCTGTGAATGCTCATCAGCAAGAACAGCGTGGAGTATGTCAGCTTCAGAGTGCCATTGCAACTGCCACCGGCCACCCTGTCGCGAGGAACGTATTGACTCCTACGCCAACTGCCCAAGGTGCTGGCATGAACGGAGCTTCAGCCCAGCAACCTGGTGTCGAGAAGCGTGGCCCTGTCGAATTCAACCACGCAATAAGCTATGTGAACAAGATAAAGGTTTGTACGCGTCCAGCGTCGTCAAAGAATAGTTATTAATAGTGTACAGAACCGCTTCCAAGATAAGCCAGAGATCTATAAGCAATTTCTTGAGATTCTACAGACATATCAACGAGAGTCGAAGCCAATCCAAGACGTCTATGCCCAAGTTACTACACTGTTCGGCACTGCTCCTGACCTTCTAGAGGACTTCAAGCAGTTCTTGCCTGAGTCTGCTGCTCAGGCTAAGGCTGCTGCTGCGAAAGCTGCTGAGGACGCTGCAGCCATTGGCCTTGCTGGAGTGTCGCAGGCACCACAGCCTCTTCATGTTGCCCGTGGTGAACAGAAATTGCCTCCTGTCGGAAATTTCTTGCCTCCAAGCACCAGCAAAGAGGGTAAGAAGCGGCCACGTCCTCCGAATGCACCAGCTCCGGTCCCGATGGGTTCTTTGGGAGACGCAGCCGCTAGCCGGGCGTTTATTGGGCAAGCAGGGAGTGCAAACAAAGTAAGTTGTATTCTAGCGCATTCACTGCCCTCTTTAAGTTTTATAACTAACACTCCACCCACAGAGGATGAAAACCTCGCACGGTACAAGAATGGTTGAAGGTGCACCTGCTGTATCTCCAACACTTACTCCTCAAAAACCCCAGCCCATGTCGCCACTCATGTCGACTGCTACGCAACAATCTGAGGTTGCCTTCTTCGATAAGGTGAAAAAGTATCTGAGCAACAAACAGATCTTCGCTGAATTCTTGAAACTCTGCAACCTCTTTTCACAAGACCTCATTGACAAGAACGTGCTCGTGCACAAGGTTAGCAACTTCATCGGCCAAAATGCTGAGTTGATGGACTTCTTCAAACGCTTTGTCAACTACAGCGGACCTGAGGAGGTTATTGAGAACCGCCCCAGAGCTCCAACTGGAAAGGTTTCATTGAGCAACTGCCGTGGCTTAGGGCCTAGCTATCGTCTGCTCCCCAAACGGGAGCGCCTCAAGGCATGCAGCGGTCGTGATGAGATGTGCTACTCTGTTCTCAACGATGACTGGGCATCCCATCCAACTTGGGCATCGGAAGATTCTGGGTTTGTTGCTCATCGCAAAAACCACTTCGAGGAAGGACTCCACAGAATTGAGGAGGAACGACATGACTACGATTTCAACATTGAGGCGAATGCCAAGGTCATCCAACTTCTTGAGCCTATTGCTCATCAAATCCTCAACCTTCAAGCACATGAGATGCCCACTTTCAGGATGCCGTCTGGATTCGGCGGGCAGAGCCAGTCTATCTACAAGAGGATCTTCAAGAAGATTTACGGAACTGAGAAGGGCAATGAGGTCGCCGCAGACTTGTTCAAGGATCCGATTGCTGTGGTCCCAGTCGTCCTTGCTCGTCTCAAGCAGAAGGACGAGGAGTGGAGATTCACACAGCGTGAGTGGGACAAGGTTTGGCATGTCCAGACACAGGCCATGTACCTCAAGAGTCTCGACCACATGGGTATTTCTGTGAAGGGAGCCGACAAGAAGCTCCTGGCTCCTAGAGCCATGACTGAGCTTATCCGCAACAAGCATGAGGAGCAGAAGCGCCAAAGAAGCCTCACATCCAATGTCCCGCGGTACCAGTTCCTGTACACTCTGGATGACGACGATGTAATCATCGATGTTGTCCGATTTGCGATTCTCTATGCCATGAACGCGAACCAGCATAGCCCTGCTGAAAGGGATAGGATCGCGGATTTCTTGGAAGATTTTGTTCCTACTTTCTTTGGCATCTCGGTTGACACCGTTCGTGGCCGCGTCAAGGACATCTCGAGAGGCTCGCCAGACGAGGAAATAGAGGACACGACACCCGCAGAACTTTCCAACGGTCGTAGCCGCCGTGCAAATGGCAAGGTGGACCATAACCTTCTACGTGGCGTTCTCGAGCGCGGCAGAAACGGTACCAAGGGCCGTGGCCAGAAGGAGAGCAGCGTTGCCTCTGGAAGCAAAGAGTCGACTCCCGATACTGGGTCGATTGCCGGGGATGAGGAGACTGTGGGAGATCCTATGGATGAGTCTGGTTCTGGCGAGGCCCAGAATGAGCGCTGGCTAGGCCGCCCCCCGAGTGCCGCGGCACTCCAAGGCGCACCACTTGAAGCGTCTGATTTCGAGCTGAAGGCCGATCAGCCGTTCTACCGCGAGTGGTACAGCTTGTACGCCAACCAGACAATCTTCCAGTTCTTCAGCATCTTTGAGGTGCTGTATCGTCGCTTGAAGGCTCTCAAGGATGGCGAGGCGGCAGTCACGGAAGAAGTGCGCCGGATCAAGGCTCCCAAGCCTGCGAAGGAGATCGGGCTGCTCGAGGAGCGCAATGATTGGTTTTCGCAGGATTCTTCTGAGACTTACTACAACAGGGCTCTCATGGTTATGGAAGAGTTTGTGCTTGGCGACGTTGAGGAAGTCAAGTACCAGGACTTCCTTCGTACCTATTACCTCCAGAGAGGTTGGGCGCTGTACACGATCAGTGATCTTCTGAAGAACATTTGCCGATACGCCACTACTTGTTCTTCGACCGACAGCAAGGAGAAGACGCCATTGATCATCAACAGCTTCTTGACCAACCGCACCAAGGATGAGACGACTTTCAACCAGGAGATTGATCTCCGCAAGAAGGTTGAGAAGATCGTCGGAGATGCTGACATGTACCTCATCAGATACGTAAGTATTATTCCAAACCAATCCCCTAACAACAAACTAACCCTCCACAGTCCCCCAAACGCCGCCAGGCCACAACCCAACTCATCACCAAAGACGAATCCACCTTCGACCTAACCGACATGGAGCGCAAAGACCGCTGGAAATACTACACCTCCTCCTTCGTGCGCATCGAGCCCACCGAAGGCGTCCCCCTCGACCGCATCCGCCGCTCCGTCCTCACCCGCAACCTCTCCCCCCACGAAACCGACTCCGACTCCGGCCTGGTCTCGCAATCGCGCAAGCCCCTTCTCTGGGCCGAAGACCTCACCATCCGCATCTGCGTCAACACGTATCGCCTGACCTACAAGACGGGCACCTCGGAGTGGTTCGTCTACTCGGATGGCAGGCAGGATGAGGCTGCGGCGAGGGCGACAACGGAGAAGAGGAATCAGAGGTCTAGGGAGAAGTTCGAGATGAATAGTAGGTGGATGGAGAATAAGAGCCAGCAGGAGGTACAGAAGACGAATGAGGACTTTAAGAAGTGGATTAACGAGGGCTCGGGTGCGGCGGAGTGAGCGCTGTCAAGGCTTCGCTGGTCTGTTATGGTGCTCTAGTGGGATCCGCTGTGTAATCTTCATTCGGCGTTTGCGAATCTTTTATGCGGGGTGGCGTGGGGGGGTTGGGATGATATACGATGGGCTGTAGGGGGGCTTCTTTATACTTGAGGGTCAAAGGGGGGCATCGAACCGCCTCAACCTCTTTTCCCACCTGAAGCATTTGTGCTCCAGTGGTGGTGGCAACGAGGGTTTTAACAACTGGCGCTTCCCTGTGTTTCTGAGTACGCTGGTGTCTCCAAAGAACCAGGACGAGGCGTTTTTTCTAACCGTTTTTTCTCGCTTCTTCGCAATGTTTTTTGTTGCTTTTTTGGTTTTGCTTAATACGGAGAGCTCCTGTTTGGACTACAAGTTGCAAGTTGCGGTTTTCTTTTGCTCTACATAGTACAGATAGTTCACAGGAATCAAGATGGTTTCGATTCATGATGGTATCCGTTGTCTAATCATGTGATAAACTCCCTTGTGACTCTTGAGTATCTGGAAGAGGTTGGATTAATGGCCGCTCTGGTCCTGTTGAGCCCGGCCGGTCAGGCGTTCTGCATAGTGCTTCTAGAAGGTCTTACTTCCTGCCCCTGACCCTTATAAGGCTCACTATGTACTACACATCGCTTCCGTTATATTAGCCACAGCCCCAATATCTTCAATGTGGCTGGAGGGTGACGACACCCTCATCATCTGAGACCTTCCTGGCCCGATCCTCAAGGCTCTACGATATGCTTCACGGCGCTTCCGCGAAGTTAGCCACCCCCAACATCCTCAAAGTGGCTGGGGTGAGTGGCGACATCGCCGCACAGCGCTTCCGTGGGTGCCCCTACCCTCGAGACTTCACGATCTGATGGACGGCGCTTCAGGACTTTTTCCACAGCCCCCAATATCCTCAACGGGGGCTTGGAAGTGACAACACCCTCGTCACAATCTGCACAGCGCTTCCATCTCAACGGACCCAACATCAACGGGGTCATGCCCATGTGGGTGGCAACTGCACGGCGTTTCCCCGCCGTTAGTCCCAACACCCATCAACCAGGGCATCACATCCCGCTGCACGGCACTTCCATCAGTTGGCAGCAACATCCGGACAAAAACAAAAACAGGGGATCTCGGTCCGCTGCACGGCGTCCTGGGCGGCGATTGATTTGAGACCTCCTGCACCGCGCTTGCCCGGTCGTTCGCCAGGTAGTGGTGGTTGTGCTGGGAGGTTGGAGCTCGAGGCGGGAGGGGAGGTGGACAGTGTAGGATTTGTGTGTGATTGGTGCCTTTGGGGGGAGGAGGGAGCGCTTAGGGATGAGGTGGTGGTGAGGGTGAGGGGGTTGGGAGGAGGTGGACATGTTTGTGAGGGAGGACACCCTCACAAACATATCCCGCTCACCATCACACAGGGTGCTGGTGACTGGGACATGTGTTCGTGGAGCAGCGGTTGTGCCTTTTTGTGATACTGTTAATATTCTGTCGGCGGTTTGCAGGTATGGCAAGCGTGTCGGTGAATATCCGCTGGTTGTTACCCTCTTGCCCTCATACCCTCGGTGTTGGTGGTAGTGTCGGCGGCGTGAATTTGTCGTCGACTCGCTCGCTGGTGGTCCAGTGATGAGCATCTGCGAGTCGTTGGCATCGGTACCAATACTTCCTTATCCATACTAAACTTGGCTGTTGACCCCGTACTCCTACCTATCAAAGACCCACTGGCGTGCTATTGTAGCTCCCAAAAACTACTCCAACGAGCAACTTGGCCTAACTGCCTTCCGCATACTGAATAGCGATAAGCAACCAAAAGTCGCAAGTCAATTTCGCCAGTCCACACCGCCCAACCATACACCCACCCCCACCATATTCAAGACCCCGATTTACTACTGTAATATCCTACCTGAGAGCGACACCGGACCCCTTACGTGAACCGATACCGGGCCATATCGGAGACATTTTTTAATTATTTAGGAAACCGCGCGCCATCGCGCGTGTTTTACTGCATGGACGCTCAAGGCGGCGTGGGGGTGATTGGCCGTGGTCACGCCGGAGCCTCTTCGCCAACCTGTGTTCGCAACGGCACCGCCAATGCAAAGCGGAAACGCAGCGGCGCGGGCTCCGAGAGCAGTCCCGGGAGCGTGGACGTCGCGGAGAATGAAGAGGACGAGGCGGAGAGGAGGCGACACCCCGGAGTGAAAAGGGCTTGCAATGAGTGTCGCCAACAAAAGGTGCGATGAGTCAAAATCTGAGAGCCCGTCGCAATGGCGGCGTCGGGCGGGCTTTCTTCAGCAGTCTCGGATGAGGGTTCGATTGGCTAATGCGATTGTTCTAGTTACGATGCGACGTTGTCCAGGATCCTTTTACCACCTGCTCGAGGTGCATGCGATTGAAGCTGGAATGCAAGATCGAGTCAAACTTCAAGCGTGTGGGGAAGCGCAGTAAACATGCCGAGATGGAAAAGCAAATTGAGTCATTGCGACGGAGCCTGCAACGGGCGCAAGCACAGGGATATGCGGTCGAGGAGGAGGAGGATATCGAAAGCCCTATGGATAACGGCCTATACAGCAACTCGATGAACAATTCGTCGTTCCTGCGCAACTCTGATGAGGCGGTGTCGTCGCTCCTCCACCTAAAACAAAGCGGCACCTACAATATACCCCGAGTAGCACACGAACTGGAAGATGTGCGCTTGACGGAGGACCAGGTCAATCAGCTCTTCAGTGACTACTTCACTTTCTACCATCCATTTCTCCCGTTTCTCAATCCTTCGCAGCCACCTGAGCAATACTTCACACAATGTCCGCTTCTCTTCTGGGCCATCATCTCGGTCTCGGCTCGGCGTACCAATGTCATGGAAAACCTCCTCACGTCGCTAGCTGGCCCTCTCTCAAGGTTACTCTGGACAACCATTGGTGGTGTACCTGGTAGCCACTACGCCATCAAGGCACTATGCCTGCTCTGCACATGGTCACTACCTACCAGCACAACAGCTACAGACCCGACCCACATACTCAGCGGAGTTTTGATGAAGGCTGCAACAGGTATCGGGCTTCATAGGCCCAGCCATGCACAGGATTTCTCTCGAGTCTCTGTCGAATTCAACAAAGACGAGCTACATGATCGAGTAACTACGTGGGCGGTTTGCAATATTGTCTCGCAGACTATCGGCACAGGGTATGGGCAGCCGGCAACGACATTATACGACTGGACTTTAGCAATCCGACCGGGCGATGCGGGGCCATTCCAGCTATCGGCAGAGCTGGAAGCCAGGCTACGAATTGAACGATTCACAGACAAGGTGTCGAAGGAGATGTTCAGCAACGCGAGCGATCCCCAAGGTGTTTCCGGAGATGAGCTCCGAGCGATGTTGACGCGCATCTTCAGGCGTGAGTATGCCGATTTAGAGGCATCTATTCTTTCAAACCAAAATCTCTCCCCATTTATAACCGTATTTCTCAAAGCTGCTGGCCTGCATTTACGACTAGCCGCGTTATTTGATTCTCGATCTGCTCCGAATTACATGGACGATCTACTTGGATTATGGCGGGCGACGACCGGGTTTCTTACGACGGTATTCAGCCTCGAGACACCTACGAGCACACACCCTGGCAACATCCTTCAGTATGGTACAAACTATATATCCCAAATGATTGTAGCTGCCGGGTTTGCGCTGCTGAAGCTCTTGAGCAGCTTCTTCTCGGCGGAAATCGATTTCGACCGAGGGAGGCAGCTGTTCCACAAGACGATCCAGGCCATCCGTAGTATGAGTGTCACCAACAACGATCTTCTCTGGCGACTTGCAGAACTGATGGCGCAGATGTGGAACGGGCTGCGGGCGGATAAGAGGACGGAGCACGGCAGTAGTGAGCTGGATGGATCAATGCAGCTGAAAGTAAGGTGCCGTCACAGCATGAGCTTGGTATACGATACGATCTGGCGCTGGCGCGAAGAATATCAAGCTCAAGGCCGCGGAAGCATCGAAGGTACGTCCTTGCGGATACCTCGTCAATCGGCCGGCACGACTTCTTCCTCCTGGCTTGATGCTAACCGAGACTGGGATGCAGCCGCCTTCAAAAACCCGACAAACCCCGAATCTGCCGAAGATTCTCAGGCACCATCCACTCCCCTCAACAGCACCCTAGCCCCCCCTCCACAGACACTGCATCAGGGTCTGCCAAATCACCTGGCGCCCTCTTTATCCGGGCTCGGGGGAATGAGTGGCTACGGGGAGAGTAATTATGAGGTTTTCGATCCGCTGAATTGGATGCTGGACGGATTGGTCGACTTCCCTTATTCATATGCAGCGGTGCAAGGATTGGAGGCTCAAGGATTGAGCTGAGTAGCGCAGCTCGGTCGTAAATGACAAATGCGGTATGATGTTGTATTTTTTTATTTTATTTTTCACAAAAACGGTGTGCTCAAATCGCCGTGCGGGAGGGAGGAGGGGTGGTGAAACGGGGGAGAGGGATGGGAAAGCAAGGCCATGGGGGATTAAATGCTTGCGACAAATGACAAATACGCTTAATAGGCTATGGGCACATGCTCTCTTTTTTCACTGGGAGTACCTGGGAGTTAATTTGAGGTTTCAGCCGGGGGAAGGCGCAGAATGGAAGGGTCTCGGACGTCGTTGTCTTCCTTCAAATAAAACTGGAATGTTTGCTCACCGACGCAAGATATGCGGCGGACAAATATGCAGCCCCGCTGGTGTCATTGGGTGAACTAGACAAATAGGTGCATGAGCACATTCACGTCAGAACAAGGCCCCCTTCCATATCAATCATATTTCAGGCAGCCGTGTCTTTTTTAGGCGCCGCATTCTACCTTACTTTATTACTTACTTTCTGCAACCTTGATCGCCCTCCCGTGCGTCGGTGCTACTCTACATACGACCATCCAACGTCGCTGCACGCCCGCTGCGTCAACGGCGGATGACACCCATTTCGGGCGAGGCTGTGCGACCAACGCAGGCGGCGTTGGGGCGGGAGAAACGCGTAGTGGCATGTACGACGTCGGGTGGGAGGTCAAATGGTTGGTCGTGTATATGCAAGTGCCGCCTGAAGGCGCCGTCCCATGTGTTGGTTGTGTGTTGGTGCGAGTAAGAAGCCCTTTCGAAGCGCTGGGCTGCAGCCGGCAAGCGACCTCTTGTTGCGTTGTTGCGATGCGACTTCTGCCAGACAGACAGTGACAGCGACAGCCCCGTTTGCGCCCCGTCCGTCCGTGTCTTTTGTACATCGCGTATGTGTACATGATATCTTTTTTTGCACATCTTTTGTATAATCGTGGGTGGAAGCGATATGCGTACGCGAGAAGGATGCGGAAGCGGTAGGTACCTTTACATAGTAAATTGTATAGAAAGGTACATGATGAATTATTTTACGAAAATTATCACTTCTACTCTCACTCACTCTCCCATTCCCATCCCATTTCCCATCCTACTCGAACTCAAAGCCTGGCTCGAACCCAGGCTTGGGCTTAGAGCCAGCTTCTGGGTCGAGAATTGGGTCCCGGTTCTCTGGAGGAACTGGGTTGCCAGCTCGAATATGAGCTTTTACCCTTTTCTCCCGGAGGCGATCCTGTTTCCGGGCCTCAAGCGCCACCCCAGCAAGCTGCTTATGGGCCTGGTTAGCAGCTTGCCGAGTTACTCGGGCTTCCTTCGTCGGGCTTTCTGGGCTATGAGTCAGCTTTGGCAGCCCGAAGATCGTGAGCTCGGTCAGCATTAAGCTCACCCCCAACCTGAAGCCGGGCCGGCTCCTATCCCTCCCCGTTTTCTGCTCTTTAACCTGTTGCTGTAGAGCCTGTAGATCTAGCTGCTGAAGCTGGCCTCAGGCCAACATCTCTCTAGTGCCAGTAGCCCAATTATTGTAGCTCTTTTGTGAGGGGCTACTAAGAAGCTGTAGCCCCTGTTCTGAGTCTTTAAAAGTAGAGGGCTTCGGGTCAATTGGCGTAGTGGTAAGGTAGGTGGTGTAGCAGGCCTAGGCGTAGGCTTTGAATAGATACGAAGCTTCCTAATAGCTATAACACAGCTTATTGGAATGCGTGGGTTATAGTAGACTCCTTAAAAGTCTGTCATGTGGTTGGAATATTCCCACGTCTAACGGCTGTAGAACGTGTGCAAGATGTGAGGGAAAGGTGTAGATAAGAATGTTACTCTCTGCTGCCATAATAACGAAATCATAGCTTGTAAGGCTTATATGTGAGTCGAGAATTAGGAGCTTCGGCTCTTCGTGTGGAGCTATATGCTCTATTGTTGGACTCAAACAGCCAGGGCGTGGTTTCCCGATTAGGCGACACAACGCCGTCGCTCCTGCATCAGCTGCATCACTATATAGCTTCAGAAGAAGAACATCCTTACGATGCTCTTCAATCAATCAATCAATCCAATACGATTCAATGCATCGATGCCCCAACAGTGACCATCCTCGGTCAACATCTATAAAGTGCTGTAGCCACCGTAATGCAAGGTGAGAATGAGCTTAGTAAGCCAGCTTTGTGAGGGTGGCGGTGAACTGGCGCCAGTACATAACGAGCGATCTCATGTACGCATATCGCTTCCGCATCCTGGCGTACGCATATCGCTTCCACCCACGATTACCAACTATGACAATTTAGGAGTTGGCCTCCGCAAGTAGCCTTCCCAACGCCGCATGCCATTTGCTAGATCTCGAAGATGATGTGATGTGATGTGTCTGTGTCGTACGCGGTACATACAAAAATTTACGCCCGCGCGCGCTTAAGTGCACACCCCATGGCCGCGAGGCTTTTTTCCATCCGCACATCTGACGCCCTGTCGCTGTTCTGCCACCCTAGTTTCCCCTTTGCTTTACGCTATGGCCAAAACAGGGCACAAGAAAAGAAGGGGTCCAACACGGGGGGGGGATCACAATGCGACACAGCATAACCGATCGATTATTTGCGCCTGTTGTTGGGCCTGTCTAACGGCTGGATCAAGCGCTGTGACGCTGTGGGATCTGGTGGTTTTTGGAGTCTGGTTGGTTTCTGTGGTGTCTGTCTGTGGCACACTTCGCTTTGGGGACGATCATGAGCTGAGGGAGAAGGGAGGACCGTCCCTGCCGCGTCTCCCCGTCCACCCCCCATCCCCCCATCCCCCCTATCCCCCCCATCCCCCCCCATCCCCGACCCCACTCCCTCCCTGCGAAGTATAGTGAATACGGTAAGGACAATATGGTATGGGGGGGATGGTGGTGGTCGACTCCAGAGCACAGCCGGTGTGGATGCGTCTGAGAATGATTCACAATTGGTCCGAAGTGGTCCATCGATCAATCCCGACAGTCTGGAGACGACACCTGGGGCCCCATGTTCGTGGCGTAGTTTGTTACTTTGGTCCACACCCCCTTGTCTAATGCTTGTCTTATGTCCCATACGATTTCATACCTCCCCTACTCCCCTACTCCCCCTAACTATTCCCTACTTTTCCTACTATTCCCTCTATTCCCTACTATTCCCTACTCTACCTACTCTACCTACTCTACCTACTCTACTCTATTCTACTCTACTCTATTCTACTCTACTCTATTCTACTCTACTCTACTCTACTCTACCCTCCCTACCTCTACCTACTCTACCTACTCTACTCTATTCTACTCTACTCTATTCTACTCTACCCTACTCTACTCTACTCTACTCTACTCTACTCTACTCTACTCTACTCTACCCTCCCTACCTCTACCTACTCTACCCTCCCTACTCTACCTTTCTACCCTCCCTATCTATAACTCTACTACACTCTGATCACGGCATTTATCCGCGGCCCCTCCCTCCAACCTTTCTTTTGTCCCATGTATCTACCCTATCCTATCTATCGTATGCAAAAATTCTTGCTGGAGATCGGCTTATTTTATTCTACCTGTCACTCCACAACCCCTGCAGCCAGGGGCGAACATGTGATGCTAAGTCGCTCCAGCCGCCCTGAAACCGTGTCCCGAGCGCTTAAACGTCTGCATGTTCTGCAGTCTTTCCTCCCACTACTTCCTTTCACTCCACTCCCGCTATTCCCACTTGTCTCCCTGTCGCCAAACAAGCGATCGACTCGACAAATCGCCCCGTCCTTCCCTCGTGCAGATTGTCGATGAGATCCCCCATCCCACTCCTAACCCCCCCTTCCCTAACCCCCCTAACCTAACCTAACCTATCCCCCCCCCCCCTTGACTGATGTCTTTCCGGCTCCTTGGCACTAATTCCTCGCTGCCTTTTCCTGTCACTCAACCCCCCTCCTGTAATGTATGACCAGGGCGCTTAATCAATGCAAAAATTCATCCATCCACCCCAACCGCACCCATGGAGGTCGATTCCAAAGCGACCCGGCAAGCAGAATGGTGCTGTACTCCCTGCCACATTTGGCTAGTTAACCAGCGGCCGAGGCTCAGTAGTGCTGTGCCCTACAGTCCGTCCGAAATCATAGGCAATCGTTTCTTCACTCCGTCAAAGCCGTGGCCATCGCCACACCTGGCGAGGCTTCCTCCTTGATATTCTTCTTATCCAGTGTCGTCAGGCAGAATTCTTCAATGTGGCCTTGCGGATTGCCCTCTAGTCCTATATCTCGAATCATTGCATCTTATGATATATACTTTCCGTCCCACACATATGCATCATATGCTGCTGTTATCTTCACGGTGCTGGCAAGTCGCAAAATCACCCCAAAAACCTCCTCCAACCACCAAGAATCTACTCGACACTTTTATATCCCCCTCAGATCTTTAGACCAATAACCTCAACTCATGTTTGTTGCCATGGGTGATCCATTATACCCCTCTCAATATGAGCGCATACCAAACTATGAGGGATTCACCCCGCAAAGCGCAGTATGTGATCTCTTATCACTCAAATCCCTCTCAGGATCTCGACAGTTTGGGCATACTGTACTCACAGCACGACCAGGTCTCATCTTTCAACACACCCCTCATCTACGACTCGACCTTAACAACACCCGTATCGCTCGGCGCAGACTCTCCCGTCCTCTCGTCCAAGCCTTCCGCCTCTACTATCCACTGGGGCCACGAACAGTCCCAAATGAACAACCCCATGCGGGACAATCGTGCAATCTTCAGCCACAACCAGAACAACAACCGCATGGAATCAAACGCCGAAGACTCGACATTGTCTCTCCAAGTCCCCCAGGGCTCAAACGGTGACCTCGGGCTCGGCTTCTCTACTTACAACATGTTTGACTCTCCGCAAATCCCCTGCCCTCCAACTCCGTACTTTGGCTCCTACGGCGTCTCCGGTGCTCAGGTAACATCTCCGACACCATCCCTACCCTCCAACACCCACTCAGCATCCCAGCTCAGCAGTGCGAGCACGCCGTCAATGCACCACAGCATCCCGCTCGGCCAAAACAACGCTCCCAACCTCATTACGCCAACACCAGGACAACTCCGTCCAAGCAAGCGATCCCACGATTCTCCCATCAAGACGGAGCACCACGGGATGCAATACCCCAGTCGGCCTTTGCATCAGCACGAGCAGTCTCCAATCCACTTCAGCCCACCTGTAAAGCGCGAGTCACCACCGTTGTCACAGTCAACGCAGAAGCGTCAGAAGCAATCCGATCCAATGACGCCTCTATTCAACCAAAACCAACGGATGCCATTAACCGACGGATCGAACGCCGAGTTCCACGGAAGCCAATCCCGCTTCAAGCCACTGGGCAACACCCAGTCTCCCCAGCCCGTGATGACCGAGGAAGAGGAATTCCTCATCCACCTCCGCAAAGGCCGCGAACCCAAGCCCGACTGGAAGACGACGGTGGAAGAGTTCAAAGCGCACACTGGGAAAGAATTCCGCATCCCCGCGCTGCAGATGCGCTACTCGCGGCTCAACGAGAGACTGCGCGTGTGGTCAGCTAAGGACGTGAGTGCCGCCCACCAACTCTCCTCCGACGTCGTTGGATGGGGCGACGACGACGAGATCCAGGTCAGCATGATGAGCTAACAAAACAACCCCCTCAGATCACGGCGCTGACGCGCTCTAAGGCCGAGTTTGAGAAGTCAAAGTGGGAGAGTGTGGCGAATGGGATGATGAAGTATGAGTGTGAGGTTAAGTGGTCGGCGAGGGCTTGTCAGCAGAAATATGCGGAGTTGAACCCGGAGGAGCTGGATGAGGCGCCGCTGGAGGATAGTCCGGATCCGGAGGCGTATAGTGAGGCGGGGAGGCATAATAGTTATGTGAACATTGGGGTGCAGGAGTATGAGATGACTAGGCAGGGTCATCATCACCAACAGCAACATCCGCAGCAGCAAAGGCAGAGAGGGACGCCGGAGGGGAAGAGCAGTAGAGAGCAGAGCGCGGATGGGAGAGCGGAGAGCTACAAGAATCTCCAGGTGGATGCGAATAATCAGCTACAACTCCTGCGGCAGCAACAGCAACTTATTTCGAAGAGGATGCAGCTTGGGCAACAACAGCAAGAGCAGCAGCAGCAGCAGCAACACTGGGGGATGGGAGGGCAACAATAAGACGAACTACACCCCTTCACTCAAGGGGCAGGCAAGGCGGGGTGGCTACAAGAGATAATTGGCACGACGACGACACAAAGAAATCCTCTGATCAAGGACTGGAATACCAGACAACGGCGACGACGACGGCGATAGAGATTCACAAGAGGTCATACAACGGCATATTACATTTTCGTGCTTTTCAGCGTGTGCCAGCGAGTACGTGCGCATCATCACACAGAAGAGAGACTTTAGGGACGATAGGGACGCGCCTCGATACAGAGGCCGGGGATTGGAGTTGCGGCGACACCCAGCAAACGGAAGGGTAGAGAGATGGGGGAACAGGTTGGGCGGCCGTGTGTAACCAAACACTCGTTTGATTATTTACAGCATTCATCATTCACTTCTTCTGTATCTATTTTACATCTAATGACCAGACATTTTCAACTCCCTCTGCTCTGCTCTCGTACACAACTCCCCATAGCCCTCCCCCTAAAAGTCCGGCCTGCACATAACTACCTATACCCCTCCCCCCCTAAAGTCCGGCCTGCACATAACTACCTATACCCCTCCCCCCCTAAAGTCCGGCCAGCACCCCCCCCGTTCCCCGGCGTTAGGGCTTCTCCACTCCATCCCCCGGCTCCCTCGCCGTTCTAGCCCTCCCTGGGGGGCTCCACCGATGACAACCCGTTCGGTGTCAATGGTTGCTAAGCACCCTGCACCGCCCGCCCGCCATCGGAGATCAAATGTGGCACAGCACTCCCATAGCGTTAGAGCAGCCACGCCGTAGCATGCACGGGGGCGACCTTTAGCCGCCGCACCACGCACTCGGACCCAGTCCGCCGCTTGATCCGAGCACCGCCCGCCTCTCAACTACCTCTCCATAGTGCAGTATGTACGATTGAGGAGCGTGCGCCGGTTCCGAGGGGCAGCTTCGGGACCGGAGGAATAGCATACATGGGTGAGTGCTGCGAAATCAATTGCATAATCCTGCACCTCGTACCGTTTATGGTTGGTAATTCCAATTCTGAAATTCGCGGCATCTTAATTGCCCTGCTTTCTGCACGCTGCGGACGTTAGGGCGTATCTCCGATCCACCGCATACATACTGTACATTGACATAGCTCCGTAAACGCACACCCCCCTATCAAGGAACCGCGTGGCTGGGGTCACCCCTCTCCCTTGTCGAAAGACAGCCAAAAGCGGAGAATCCGTTCGGAAGAGCCGGTGATGGGAGTTTTTGGCCCCCAACGCGGTGGGCGGAGCTGCGATCTTATTCCTATGGCGGATTGCGAGGCAGATTTGACTTCGTCCTTGGATATGTACTGTTTGTCGGCGGGGGGAGATTGGTAAGGGGTTTGTAAGGAGTTTGTAAGATAGAAGGTAGGCGGCAGCGTTACAATGACGACAGGCGGTGGCAGGCGCGCGGAGGGGCGCAGATAGCTGCCCGCACACTGACATTGACAGGACGGCCAGATATCAGGATGCCTCGATCCTTGATCTACGGGTGCCTCGTGCGAGCTACACAGTACGTTGCGCTATCCATCCCATGCCTCGAGCCTGAACCTTCCCCCCTCCCTTTCTTCCTTCATTTCTTCACAAACTACCTCTACAGCACTAGTGAGGGGGGAGCTAATGTGATTGATGTGATGGACAAGGGACGGGATGCAGCTTCCGACTTCTGGTTAGGCAGGGTAGTAGTATTGGCATTAGAAACGGTCCCGTCAGACGCAGGGGCAAACGTCACGTCTAGTTGGGGCTCATCGGGGTGGGGGGGTGTATTCTGCTCCGGATGAATAATGTTGATAAGCATGGAGCTTGGATTGGGGGAGGGAGGGGGGGGGGGGAAGAAGGGGGTGGTGCGCAATTATTTTGGGGATTAGGGTTCTTATTGCTGCTGGTTAAAGGATTATTAAACTCTCCGTTTGAGAAAACATCGGTCCTATGCCCTATTATCGGCGGCATCCCCGCATGCACCCTGCTACCCGGTTTTACGATCCTCGGAAGGTTTCGCTGGATGGGGTTGTAAGTTTCTATGATTTCTAATGCGCGCTTTGCTATGCTGGATGTATGTATGGAATGGAAATAGAAAAAGGGGAAAACGATGATGTACTGTCAGGGGTATATAAGTCTCCGCCGAGAAGGAAAAAACACAAAAAACGCGCGGGATCCCCCTCTGTGTGAATATCCCCACGACCACCTCCCGCCATTACTGAATCTCCCTCCCCTCGATGGATCCCCTCTCTCCCCCGCACCTTGATGAACCACCTCCCTCCCTCCCTTAGCTCGAATCGAACCCCCCCTAGCCGGATTCCTCACTTCTTGGTTTGACCCTCCCTTGCTGACTCCCTTCCCCTGGCTAGTTTTCCTCCCTTACTTCTTTGCTTCCTGTGCTGACTATCTCCCCTCACCTTGCTAAATCCCTCAAACCTCCTTAGTATACCTTGCTGAATTCCTCATTTTCCTCCCTTGCTTGGTTTCGTCCCTCGAAGGATTCCCCCCTTGCTGGATTTACCTCCCTTGCTAGGCTTTCTTCATTCTTGGCTTCCCCCCTCAATGATTTCCTAAGACCGGTTTTTCTCCTCCTTTTTGAGTTCCCATCCCCCGTCTTAGTTCCCGTCGATCCCGCATTCCAAATCATCCATCGATCATATCCCCCATCCGGCGCCCTGCATCCCCCCCATTCCTCGGCATTCTCCCCTCCACACCTACCCCTCCCCCTCCCTCCTCACCCCCTCGAAACTCCCCACCCAAACTAAGGCTCCTTAAACCTAATCCTAATAATCCCAAACAACATATTCTGCAACACATGCACCATAACCACCGCACTAGCCGGCAACAACTCCGGCCACCTCCTCAAATCCCTCCACCCCTCCCCCGCAACCTCCTTCCCAAATAACCCCTTCACCACCCTCCTCACCACCCACGCCGCCACAATCTCACACCCCCACGTCACCGCCGCCAACCATAGCGTACGATCAAAATCGTACAAGCCCTCCTCATCCCCCCCCTCCGCGCCATCAAACGCGAAGTACGGGTACGCGTCTCTATTAGCGCCGTAGTGGAGAACTAAAATCTGGCCCAGGAAGGCGGCCATGCTGGCGTTCTCGGCTAAGGAGCGGATGAAGAGGGTGCGCCGGCAGAAGCGCGCGTAGGTGGTGTAGGATTGCGTGTTTAGGCGCAGCAGGCCGAGGAGGGAGTGGTAGGTGCTGGACATGGTGAGGGGGTGGATGATGATGAGGGTTGTGGAGCTGAGGAGCTGGAGGAGCATGAATTGTTGGGGGGAGCGGAGGCGGGCGTATATGGCGCGCACGTAGGTTTGGTAGGTTAGGGAGAAGTAGCTGGTTGTGCATTAGTTGGTGGTTTTGTTAACATGGGCAGAATGGGGATAGGGGACATACAGTTTGAATACCCACCCCAATGGGTAACTACTCACGCGCTCCCCGTCGTCGCTCCCGAGTATCCAACCCGTCAGCCCGTCGAGGAGGTGAATCGTAACAACCCAGCTATACACATACACAATCGTCTCCATACTGTCATGCGGCAACGTACGCAGATATATCTCAGCATACGTCTCCCCCAACACATACGCCAAGAGCGCAATCGACAACGTAGCACAAAACCACATAAACCTCACAAAACTCGCCGGAATCCACAACTTCCTCATCCCCAGCGCCGCTCTCGGCAGCAGCGCCTCCGCATTATCAATCGCCAGCGGCGCATCCGGATCGAAGTTCACAAGCAGTGCCTGAGGACGCCGTCGGTCCCGCCGCGCGAGGGTGTCGGACTCGACGTCTCCCGCCCACCAGGAGGTGGTGAAGAGGCGCTGGGTGTTGGAGAGGGAGTTGCGGAGGGAGAGGTGGCGTTCGTGCGAGGTGAGGATCGCGAAGGCGACGGCGACGGGCATGGCCATTGTGATGAAGGTCCAGAGGATCCAGACGGTGTTGTAGTGCAGGTAGGCGCGCGCGGTGGGGATGTAGTAGAGGGGGATGGGGGCGGCGATGGAGAGGGCGGCGATGGTGGAGACGGTTAGGGGGAAGCCGAGGGATTGGGGCCACCTGGGGGGGTTAGCGGTCTGGGGTTTTTTGGTAAAGGGGGGAGGGGGCGTACCAGTTTAGACTGTAGATGTTGAAGACCTTTGTGATCCACATCAACGCCGTGAAGTTATAAAACCCATAATACACAAACAAAAAAAACCAAAAATTAACCAGCACCCTCGCCTGTCCATGGCCCGGCACCCGATGTCCATCCGTATCTCCATCTTCCTCCCCTCCATTCCGCGGTAACGCATATTGCGGAAACGGAATCGCACACCACGCCACAGCCTAAACAATCATCATCAGCTTCATTCACTCCACCAATTCAAGAGAGCAAACTCACAATCCCCGCCGGCAACCCCACAACCACCACCCACCTCGCAACCCACCACCCCAACACCCACCCCACAGCCTCCCCCTTCGGCCTAACCCACACATCCCTCACCCCCTCCCAAATCCTCCACCCCCCATCGCCCTCCGCATCGCCCCTCCCCCCATCACCCCTTCCCCCCCCCTCCCAACACCCTCCTCCTCGCTCCTCGACCGAAATAATGACCCATACCCCACACTCCCAAAGAACTCCCCCTTACTCCGTTTCTTCCCCAGGCTCGGGCCGGGGACGGCCCTGAAGCGGCCGAGGAGGGGGGTGCTGTCCGGGCCGGCGGGCTCGAGGCCCTCGCTGAAGGAGAAGAGGGGGGGCATTTACATGGCGTGGTGGGGGGTTGGTGGGGGGTGAGGGGAGGAGGGGGGTGCTGGGTGCTGGGTGCTGGGTGCTGGGTGCTGGGTGCTGGGTGCTGGGTGCTGGGTGCTGGTATGGAGGCGTGGTGGTCGTGGTGATCGTAGTGGTCGTAGTGGTCGTGGTTGTCGATGGTATCGCGTGTTTGGTCCAGGGTAAATTATCGTGTACTCGCCCCAGCGAATCTCGCGCCTGTCAACCTCGCGATCGATCGATCCTGTCGTACTGCCTGCACTATCCTGTCCTATTCTATGCAGTGTGATCGTGATCGTGATTGTCTGTGGTCGGAGATGGTAATCGCAGGATAGGATAGCTCCGGTTTGGTCTTGGTATGATGATGTGTAACTTAACTTAGGGTAGGGGACAGGGGTACAGACCCCTGCGGGAGCGAGCCGAGGCCGAACTTCCCGTTCTGGCATCCCCCATCTACCTAGATGGTGGTGTACACCTTGAAAAATGGTTGGCGCTAAAGAATAATTTCTATATTTTTTATAATTTTTATAATTTTTATATTTTTTATATTTTTTATAATTTTTATAATTTTTATAATTTTTATAATTTTTATAATTTTTATAATTTTTATAATTCTTTTGGGATTTTATTTCTTTGGCTGATAAGGAAAATCCAAAGCTGGGCTTATCATATTGTGGCTGTCTGATGCAGCCCTCTTGCTGTTTGCAGCTCTCTACAGAATCGTGCATGTGTGGGATTGCCCCGCGGTGAAGTAAGAACGCGCGGGGGGAAGCACTCCTCACCTCCCCAAAAGGGCCTCAGCTCAGCCAACACAAGGCAAGGAGGGGAATCCGTAGGTCGTGAGCGCGCGTACACAAATGCAGCCAGAAACCGCCACTAAAGCAAATCCGTGACGCGATCCGGGGTTCGCTATACGCACATCTCTACAAAGTCGGTGAGGGAGAGCACAGAGGCGTGATTCGCGCGGGGAGATGGGGAAGTACAGAGTCGGTGTCTCAGCCCGGGCTGGCCTCATATAGACTACTCATTTACGTTTTGAGGGAGGCGGAGAGGTGTAACTGTTCACCAAAACTGACAAAACGAACACACCGTGATTTGTGAAAACTGAGTGTATCCCGGAACAGTGTGTGTTCCTTGCTTTTGTGTAATGCCTAACGAAACTCCCTCCCAAGATTGCTTCACTGTTTCCGGGAACGAAATCATTCCAGGTTTCCGTAACCCCGCCATGGAATGATCCGCACCGTGGTGGCTCTCTTCCCCGCGATTCAAACATAACATTATTAAGTAGCCCATCCTTCAAGTGGAGGGGTGAGGTGAAGAGGAGAGGTGAAGTAGCCCGCCGTCCGTCGCCGTTTCTGTGCCTTTGATATTCCGAAATCCGCATCGTGTGCTCCCTGTCTATCTATCCATCCATCCATCCGTTCAATCCCTAACAAAATCCACGCAACAAAGATCCCCTCCCTTGCCTCCCATTCCAAAAGGTCCAGATCGGTGAAAAAAGTATTGTATATTTTTGGTATATGTATCACGTATGTTCGCAGCGCAAGATCGGTGTTTATCTGTGTTTTTGGTTTGTCGTTTGTGTAAATAATATTTCCGCGATCGGGTGTGGGGTGGGACGTCGTCTACTGCTTCTCCTCCTGCGCGAGGAGGGTGCGCACGGGGGCGCTGAGCAGGTCGCGGCCCTTGAGGAAGTCGAGCTCGAGGATGAAGAGGTAGCCCATGACTTCACCGCCGAGCTTCTCGATGAGGTCACCAGCTGCCTTTGCGGAGCCGCCTGGGGTGAAGAAGTCAGCACGCTGCATTTTCCGATCGATCCCTCACAACGGATCACCGATCCCGACCTGAAAAATCCATATGAGAGATGAGAAAAAAAATAGACATACCAGTAGCGATAATATCATCCACCACCAACACCTTCTGCCCCTTCTCCACCGCATCCCTCTGCATCTGAAAGAAATCCTCCCCATACTCCTTCTTAAACCCCACCTCAACCGTCGGCCCCGGGATCTTCCCACTCTTCCTCACCGGCGCAAACCCACATCCCAATTTCATGGCCAGCCCGGGCCCAAACAAGAAACCCCTCGCATCAAGCGCCACAATGACATCCGGGACGCCGCCAAAGCCCGAGAGGACCTCCGCCTCCAGCGCAGCGAGCAGGGTCTCCTGGCGCGCGGCAGTCGCGAAGAGGGGGAGGATATCAACGAAGTCGATGCCTGGGATTGGGAAATCGGGGAAGTGGCGCAGGGCAGCGTGGAGAATTAGCTTTGCGCTGGCGAGTTCGGCGGCGCGGGTGGCATCGGGGGCGGCGAGGGGGAGGCGTCCTGCGGCATTGTTAGGGGATTCGGCGGCGGTTGTTGCGGCGGCGGTGGTGGTGGTGAGGGACGAGGGCATCGTGGAGAGGAGAGGGAGGCGAGGCGAGGGAGGCGAGGGAGAGGTAAGGGAGGTTTGTTGGGGGGTTTTGTGCGTGGGATGCGTGTGTGTGGTGTGTGAGATGGCGGTGGAGGAGAGAGGGTGTGGTTGGAAGGGGGGGGGGGGTAGAGGGGGTAGAGGTAGTTTTCAGGTGGGATGAAAAACGGAACTCGGGCGGTTGTGCCATAGCGTGGTAGAGGCCTAGAGTATACCACGCCCCAACTTTATAGCACGTCGTCCTATCGCACCATAATAAACACCCACTAGGATCCACGTGTAAGGAGATGTAGATGTAACTTGGGGCGTGTCTTGTACGTAAGGCGTGTCTTGTAAGTAAGGCGTGTCTGTATGGCGTGTCTTGTAAGGCTTCTCTTGTAAGGCGTCTCCTATATGTAAGGTGGAAGTTATGGCGAAATGTATAACTCAAGTTAGGTTATTTATATAATAATCAACTCCAACGGAAGGAAGTACCCTGTCTGCTCTGTATACATACAGTCAGACGTCCGATAGTAGAGGGGATACAAGGAAATAGGTACCCCTCACCCCTCAAGACACACAAAGTAACTTGGTCTAGATTTCACCATATCAGTTGAATATTTGCAGAGTCATACCCGCATTTCTAGATATATACCGCATACGGAGTACTCTACCTATAGTATACCCCTCGGTGGGTACTTTACATGAAATCCCCTCTCCCTCCACTCCCACCAAGTATTACAGATAAGATATGTACTCATCCAAAACAAGCCCAGCCCAGCCCAGCCCAGCCCAGCCCAGCTCTCACTCTTCCAAGACCATATCCCATCGAGCCTCTCACATTCCCCCGTCCACCATACCCTACCGCCCTCCCTTACCCTACCGCCCTCCACCATACCCTACCGCCCTCCCTTACCCTACCGCCCTCCACCATACCCTACCGCCCTCCCTTACCCTACCGCCCTCCACCATACCCTACCGCCCTCCCTTACCCTACCGCCCTCCACCATACCCTACCGCCCTCCCTTACCCTACCGCCCTCCACCATACCCTACCGCCCTCCCTTACCCTACCGCCCTCCACCATACCCTACCGCCCTCCCTTACCCTACCGCCCTCCACCATACCCTACCGCCCCCCTCCATACCCTACCGCCCCCCTCCATACCCTACCGCCCTCCACCCTACCGCCCCCCTCCACCCTACCGCCCCCCTCCATACCCTACCGCCCTCCACCCTACCGCCCCCCTCCATACCCTTCCCCCCTCCATACCCTTCCCCCCCCCTCCCCCACCCCCCCACGCCCATCCAGCTCTCGTCCACTACTCAGTGACGCACGCCCTCGCCGCGGCCTAGCCTCGGGCCCCAGGAGATACAGAGAGCTACCTACCTACCTACCTCCTGCCGATCGGTGGTAGGTGAGAGGAGTGCGAGGTGGCCATAGTCGGAGCTCTCCATCAGGGCAGTATCTCGCCGGGTAACAATATCTCCCCTCCCCTCTGCGACTCACTCACCGGTTTCTCCACCGACGTGTCCAGAACCCTCAAACCGCCACCACTGTAACACACTCCCAGACGCAGCTGCATACTGCACCTCCCTCCCGCACCTCCATCCCGTACCTGCCCCTACCTATCCCACTACACCTCACTTCCTCACCGCACCCTCTCAATCTCACGACAATCAACAGCTCATCTAGATGCAGCTGCGCGGGCTGCGCGGGGGGGAGGTGTAAGGTTCCGTAGGGCTGGGGATAAAAAAAGCCGGGGATTGATTGGGGTAGAGGGGATGTAATAAGAGAAGTAGAGGAAGAGGTGGTACAAGTGGTATGTATAAACGGATGATGTATGGTATATTCAGTAGAGACCTATGCGCGCTTGCCTTGACGGACAACGATAGCACCCCTTTCTAAGTTGTCGTTTCTAGGTCGATGGCCGCGGTTTAAGCTTCATCCACCCGTTAGAGCCACGCTTCGCATCGCTGCGTGTAGATGCTTCGGGTGAGCGCTCGAGGCTGGCGAAGCTCTCCCCCAAAAGGCCCGGACCACGAGCTTCTCCCTCCCTTTCGCCCTCACCATCTCTAGAGGAGCCATCAGCCTTACTCCCACTCCCCCCCGCGCTCTCCTCCCCCTCATTGCCCCCCCTATCCCCCTTTCCCCTCTTATCCGCTTGCCACTCCTCCTCCTCCACCTCCCCCTCCACCATCTCCCACCCCGCCCCCACAACCTCCGCCAACAAATCCCTCCTCAACCTATCCGCCATCTTCACCGGCCCCAACAACCTAAACCCCCTCACCAGCTCCTCTCCCCCCTTCCCCACCAAATTCGAATGCCGCGCCCCATGACTATACCTCCCGAACCCAAGCCCCTCACTCCCACTATCCCCGCTCGCCACGGTCGGCACCCCCGCCGCCGAGGGCGCCGCCGGCGGCGCCCTGCCTCCAATAAGGAGGTTGTAGAGGTTTTTCCCTAGAGCTGTCATGTCTTCGAAGGGGACGCCTTTTTCCTTGCTCACTGCCCCGGAGCCGGGTTCTATGCCCTGCGATTTACACAGCCACGCTACGTCATAAGCCAATAGTGCTGTGGCTTCCATAAACGTCGTATAAGCCCCCTGATCCTCCTTCGCCAGCCTCGGCAGGGGGGTCTTGACGAACAGCGGTCGCGGGCGTGGCATATTCCTATCCAGCGGCGGCGGAGTGCGCGAGCGTCCATGCGCTGTTAATAGACGGCTCGCGCTCAGTGAGGGCGTTAAAGCTGGGGCCCCCGGATAAGGAACCGGCACGTCGGAGTAAGAGGAGGCCACCGAAAATATGGTAGGGAGTGGATAATCCGTATGCGGCAGCGTGATCTCCGCCGGTAACCGGACAGAGAGGTATCGACTCGCCAGCACGAGGAGATTCGCCACATGGCCCAGACTCGTGCTAATCAGCGTCGCCGACGCATTATTCATATATCTCAGATCCACAATCCTCACCCCGCCAATCGTATACTCGTCCCCCCCCGCACCACCCCTAACTCTCACCCTCTGCAGCCCATAAAGCTCCGCAGCCTGGTAACACAAAAACGCCCTTGCCTGCACCGTCAAGGCATGCGCCTGGTTCCAGCGATATGTGCTCATCTTCGACGCCTTGGCGAGGTCATCAAGCGCCCGTTGTTGGCGGGCTGCGAGGCCGTTCCGCGCTTTTTCGAGGGCGCGCTGGCGAGCTGCTAGGGCGGCTTTGCGGGCGGCGATGGATGCGCGAGCGTGGGTGAGAGAGAGCCGGAGGGTGTCGGCTTTGAGGATTATTTCGGCTGTGCGTGCTGCGGAGGCGTCGCGCTCGGAGAGGGTAAGGGAGAGAGCGAGGGCAAGTTGTTCGGGAGTGCGGTCGTCGGTGGGTGAGGAGGGTTCGGTGGAGGGGGGGATATAGGTGTGTTCTTCCTCGTGGGAGGGGGTGGAGGAGGTGGGGTCTTCAGTGGTGAGGGCTGCGATTTCCTGGCTCAGGCGGTCGTTTTGGAGGAGGACCTCAGTGTAGCGGAGGCGGGGCTCGTAGAGTTGGTTTCGGGCGTCGGTGGCGCAGAGGAAGGGGAGTTTGCGGCTGCCGGGGCGGAAGCAGATGTCACAGTGGATTTTGCCGTCCATTCTGTAGGTTTGGGGATGTGAAGATTGGGATGTGCTCGAAGTAAGCGGTGTCGTGCTTGTAGGTATGTCGATAGACACTGCCTTTGGTGTGATTGAGTTTCAACGAGGAGATAGCATCGTTATATATATTGTTTCGGAACTGATATATTGGGTTTGAGGTGTGTCTTTCAGGGAGCTTGGAGATTCGAAGACCATGGGTCGTTCGTGAATCGCAGTCACATGGTAACCTGGGTCGATTAATCTTATCTTATCTACACGTGACTGGATACCTTTACCTTCCTGTCAACAACCTCGTCGCGAGGCTCACATATAAATAGAACTACGAGATCAATCACCACGACATATCCCCACGAGATCAAGACTCGAGAATAAATAATTCTGAATGTGAAGCTACCAACAAAATACCTGGTCTCCCAAGCCGGTATCTGCTTTGCAAGTTCTTAAAACCAGCCCAACAAACCCCAATCCACCTCACAATGGCCCAGGCTCAGAGCCCCACAATCCAGGTAGAGGAAACCCAGTACGACGCCAACAAGGAGCCATATGTCCTGACACCAGCGACTCCCTGCACCAGGCCGGACCCAGCCCAAACACCTCCACTCGGCCCCGTGCCCACTCTGCCATCTCAAGTCCCGGTTCCGCAGAGCCCAAGCCAAGAGAGCGACGATGGCAGCTCTGAGCACTCAGGTGATGGGTCTGGGGAGGAGCGCTGTGAAGAGGAAAAGGTTGATCCGCACGTGCTTCCTCAGTTTGACTGGGAGAGGCTGGAAGCAGAGTACCTCACTTCTATGAACAGGGCGAACGATGTTGAGGCCAAGCTCGGTGATGAGTTTAGGGCGCTTGCTAATGTAAGGATCGTATAGTATCTTGACCCCCATTATATTTATCTAACAAATCCCATAGTTCTTCGCTCAATGGTCCAATGTGTCGCTTGCACAGGACGAGGAGAGGGCTGCGAAACGTTTCAGGACGAGGCAGGAGCATGTGTATCACTCGGAGGACAAGTTTTCCAAGAAAAAAGAACACCGTAAGTGGCGATCTTTGGCGGCGTGTGGGTATATATGCTTACTGTTGTGCAGATGAGGAGGTGGTTATGGCGCTTAAATCTATGATGGCGCTTTTGCATGGTAACTGAGTGGTTGTTGTGAGGGGGTGCAATGAGATATCCAAGAGCTTGGAGTGAATGGATGGTTGGGGAGGCTGTGGTGTGAAGTAGGCTATCAAGGTCAGGGGACGGAAACGTGGATGGCTAAGCTCTTTGATAGAGCTGAGGAAGACCAGAAGACTTCTTGGAGCAAATAAGAGTCGCTTCAGAGGACCGTCCAGCTAGGAGCGGGCGTATTGGCTTGGTTGCTTTGCTTTTCAATTAGCGCATCCAACATCAAAAAGCCAGGACGGTGACGATATGTTACAACTACATGCTTTGATGAAGCATTGCTATTGCTGAGGGAGATAAATGAACATACATAGTTATACATAATACCAATCACAATTCCAAAACAGTCAAATTTCATGGTTGGACGTCGCTTTAATTCATATACAGTGCTAAATAGCTCGCACGCATACAGCGCGCTCGATAACAACAAACACATCGCTTAAAAGTGCTCCTTCCAAAACGAGAATTTAACATCCCGCGTCGTAACCTCCTTACACGCCTTATTAATCCCCCTAGACGCCTGACTCGGTCCGCAGAAGTACACACCGACATCCGTCCTCATCGTGCCCTCCAACCCACTCATATACGTGCGGTCCATAATACCCTCACGCATCCCTGTTAACAGGCGGTGAAAGTTGGGACGCCCGAAGTTCGTGCGCGTCTTCAGCTCGGTGAGCGGATCGACGTCAGAGCCAACACTGTTAAGTACGATGTTCTGCGCGGTATCCGCGTCGAGGCGTTGCGTCAGGTAGGTGTGGATACGCAGGAACTCGGTGCCGGAGGAGCCAGGGATGCTAGCAGCCTCAAAGGACTGGGCCTCGAGCGAGGACAGCAGGGTTTGAAACCACTCGAAACTAGTGGTGTCCTTGCAGACCCAGATGAACTCGACGCGGCGCAGACGCTTGGGCGGGTTTGGGCTGTTGCGAAGATGCCAGATGTTCTTGAGGATGGCAGCCCAAGGGGTGACTCCGATACCAGTGCCGATGAGGACAGCGATTTCGTTGTCGAAGACGTCCTCAGCGGGTGCACCATAGGGGCCGTCGATGCGGAGCTTCGGCATCTGTTGTCCGTTTTGGAGAGCGACTTCGTACATCCCGTTCGGGTCGACGTCGTCGTAGAGCTTGGCTTGGGCGGGACCGGCGCCGAGGGCGTCTCCGAGGGCGCGGGTGAAGTCACCGACTTGGCGGACGTGGACGGAGATGTAGGGGTCGAATGGGCAGGAGGTGATGGTAAAGGGATGCCATTGCTGGCGGGATACTGATGGGACTTGAAGGAAGAGCCACTGGCCGGCCTTGTACTTCATCGATGGCTTCTTGAATTGGATCTCCATGGCATCTAGTGAGGCGTTAGTAAGAAACTGGTAATGAACGTCTGTATAGCTTACCATATGGATGGCGAATGACGCGGATGATCTCCGTCTCTCTTCTCGCACGAATCTCACGGTAGAGGCGCTCCGCGAAGTAGAGACCTCCTCCCCAAAGCTCCCATCTCCAGCCTTCGTATCCAATGCAGTGGTCCCAGAAGTCTTTCCCGGCAAATGGAGAGTAAGGATCCACGCTGTCGCGCACAAAGCATCCAGTCGTATGTGTATATAATCCAAGCAAAAACGGGATAAATAGATGGTGCGTATACCAAAAGGTCTCAAAAGATTGCTGGCGAATCTTCGCATGTGCGGTTGTGTACAAGAGAAGCATGCAGAGGAGCATGATATGTCCTGTTATGCCACCAGCTTGGGCGTAATGGATCTGGATTGCGGTAACAGGGCGAACCTGTGTCTTTTCGACGTTGAAGAAGTTCACGTAATGGGCGGAGACGTGGATGATCGTGTAGACCAGCATCGAGTATGCGACCTGGCGATGGAACCATTGCGACTCGTCGAGAGGCAGGAACCGGACCTTTGGTCTGACCCATCGTAATATATTCCTGCACATCGGTAACAAAATCATGGCCCCATCGACCGATAGAACGAGGCCTGCGCCTCGTGATAACCACACCGAGTATGTCAATGTATTCAGCCCCGCTAACCTTTCGTCCGTTGCTTGCTTGTACCTGCAAAATGTCAGCCACTACTCAACTCCCACACCATAGGAAAACTACTCACCATCCCAAAGCAAATATACCGATGTGGCTGCCATGGAACAAGACGTTGAAGACCAACTTCGTGCCCCACAGCTGGTGCTTCACAGATTCCAAAAACCCCATAATTACTGCGTTTCTATATCTTCCTCTGTCGTTTCGTATTGATGTCGTCCAGCGACTGCTCCCCGAGTATGTTCAGGGTATCTAAAAAAAAGTATAGTTGAGAATCAGAATCGACCTAGAGAGCGACTATCAAGGCACTCCTTGCCGATTAAGAATAAGACCACTGGGGTCGATGAAGTAAGGGACAAAGAATGTAAACACTGGCCCAGGAAACCCAAAATATCGCCGGTTCAAGAAAGATGCGGCCAACGGGGAGGGCGTCTGATAATAAAGGTTCCTGTCACAAGTTTCGGGACAGTTGGTTACGGGGCTAAATCAGGACCAATGCTATCTTGAGACAAGGGAGATGGAGGGTCAGCGCATGGGGTTCCTCAGAAACCCTCTTTGCTGCTTTTCCTGACAGGCTTGTCCCTTCTTGCGACCCTGGCGCAGCGCCCGTTACTGGCCGTTTACACGGATGTTCCTAAGCCAAGGTTTCGCGCTGTAGCATTCGCAAGAGATCAATCGAAAAATTCCGTATGTGGGTATAGATCGTGGTTCATCAAGGTCGTGAAGGGGTGTGTGGGCCAGGCGATGCGACGTGGGGTGTATGAGAAGTTTCGTTGCAGCGGCAGCTGGAGTCTCGAAGATGCCGTCGATGCGCACGGAAGGGGAAGGCGATTGTTGTTCGAATAACTGCAGCTGAAAGGTACGGAGTTGATGTCGTCGAGAAGAGAACAAGCAAGAAAGGGGAGGTTCAAGAGTAAGTACATAAACTATATGCGACGAGGACGAGGGGAATCGCCCTGGGTGCTGGTGCTGGTGCGAGGGAGGATCTGATGTGCATGGGTTGGTCCCTGTGGCTTGGGACGACCTGTATCCTCGCTTGGGATGGGCGCTTCGGGGTCCAGTTGAATTCGTGACGGCAGTATCACGCACAATCACGACCACTTAGGGTAGCAACGAGACAAGGTCAAGCCCACTACTTGAGGACGGTACTGAATGGAGTAAGGGGGATTGGTGTTATTTTGGTTATTTGGTTATTTTGAAAGTTGTTGGTTTGCTCATTGTGGTCTTGTTAGACGAAAGTGAGGGCGTGGCTTCGGCCAGTGCTTGCTTCTCCACGTGTGAAGTCGCTGGGAAGTCTGACCGTCTGATTCGGAAAGTCTGGTGGCTGATATATTTGACATCATCTTGCCGCCTGGCGCAAACTCTATTCGTTTCGTCGCATAAACATCGTCGTGATCTTTCAAGATCTATGATACGCTGCCGTGGGAGGTGAGACGGATGCTCTAGTAGTCCGCTTTGGACTTACAGCAGTGTTGACAGGTAAGGATAAGGTCAATTGCAAGGCTCTCAAAGGCTCCCACAGGAATCTGTATCGATGTCACGATTTCTTGCATTGACTCTCAAGATGGTGATGTTACCGTCCCAGCTGTCTGCTATGCTATTTGCAGCGAGTCCTCTCAAATTATCGATAAATACTGTGTCTCACAGAATGGCTAGATAATGCTGTTATTGCGGCCCAGCAAATTGGAAAGTCGCCTGCACTTTGCTCCCCGAATTCATCTTTCATAGCAAGTTATAACACCTGCGCGAAATGTATTGAGGAAAATGGATCAAAATCGAGTAATGTTTCGGCTTTCCCACAGGTTGCACAGTATATTAGTTACTGCGACTTAGCAGTTGCTACTTCCACAGGCATCTTCACCTCGACAGATGGCACGGTACCGACAATTGTTTATGTCGTTCCAGCAACAGCATCTGCATCAACTACGGGTTCAGCATCTTCATCAGCAGAGCGTGCGTCAACCGCCGCCGCCACCGCCACGTCCTCGACGACAGACATCCCCGACGACATCCCCGACGATACCCCCGACGACGCCCAATTCGTCAACGAGCAAAGCCTGGATATCTGGCCCAGTCATTGGCTCCATTGCCGTGTTAGCGCTGATCATTGGTTTTCTTTTTTACATTCGGAAAAGGGGTCGAAAAAAAACTGTCGCGCATAACGAGTCGGGTTCGCCGTATGAGAAAGCAGAGCTCCACGCCGAAGAGATCATAAAGCCTACTTATGAGGCAGAGACTCATGAGATCCACGAGGTTGAAGGGCCACTAGAGGTTGATGTTGGGGACGAAGACCGAGGCGGCTGTGACAGGAGGGACACGGATATAGGCAGTGTATAGGCAGCGGTGCAGCTGGATACGGCCACAAGCGCGTTAGGACCAGGTCCACGGCGAGAGCGCGTGCCTAAATCCCCAAGAGGGTCAAGTTGTTGATAACAGGGTCGGCAATGGTACCTGCGCGAGACCATCTCTAACCAGTGAAGTAAATAGTGTGGCCATAAATAAGACGATATCATATTCAATATCATATTGCCTGCACGGTATTTTTATACCGTGCAGTGCAAGCAATACTGTAAACCGTGTAATACAGTGCAAGGTCGTTTAAATATCGTATAACGTGGTTCATCAGTACGTCGGACATATCAGTACCTCGGACACTTTTCATTGGCATTCTACTTTGAATATCAATAAATCAACCATAACATATTAAATTAACTATAACTAAGCGGAATCAGATGAACTAGACATATCTATAGCTTCTTGACAAGTTCGCGCATTATGACCAGCTTTTCCACAGATCCCACAGCATCGCCTAGACGGTTGCCCCTCCTTGCGACTACCCCCAACCGCACGTACGTCGCGTCGTACCTGCTCATCCACATCCTTCTGTGCGATAATAGCCTGTGCATCCTCTACTATAAGTGCACCTCCTTCACGGACACGAGCCTTTTTAGCCCTGCGGCGTTTGCTAAGGGCTTCGTTGGCTGCTCGAAGGGTACGTACCTCAGCAGACAGAAGGGTGTTCTCATGTGCTAGTCGCTCCGTACCCTTTGCCAATGCAATAACTGTCCCGAAGAGTGGAGTTGGCGAGCTTCCTTGGTGACGGGCAATTCGATTTCGAACGAGGGTTGTTTGTGAAAGAGCTTCAGTTGGGTTGGAAGGGGTCTGGGAGACCCAAGGGTTGGTGTTGGCAGTAGAGGGTCTAGAGGGAGTTGGAGTCTGTAACCTCACGTCAAGCTTTGAAAGCACTGCTTGCGGGTCGAAAGGCACTAAGCCAGCTCCGCGGAACCCGGACTGGGCGTTTTGGGCTGTCATGGATTCCAGATATGCTGCTCTAAAGGCGAGAAAGAACTCGACCTTGGTAATGTGGTTGATATGAGCCTTAATGAAGGTCTCAATCTGCCGACCATATGCCCGCTTCAACACACTAAAGCACCCGACATCAAGTGGCTGAGTTAAATGAGACGAGTGGGGAGGTAGTCCAAGAGTTATAATGTTGTGTGCCTTGCAGTACTCTTGGAACTCGGCCGATTCATGACTCTCGTGCCCGTCTAACACCAGCATTCGATATGGACCCCTTGCACGAACAGCAGTATGTTTGTCGAAGTGTTTCAACCATTCTAGACCCGTCTCATTGTTTGTCCATCCATTGCTTGTCGGTTTAACAACCCAGTTGTGTGGAAGGCCGCCGTCTGTATACCAATTTGCAAGATGATTCTTGCCTTTAACTACCAAAAATGGAGGAATACTCCAGCCGTCACTGTTGATACAAGCAATCGCTGTAGCCCATTCCCGATTCCCTGGCTGAACTGCCTTACCTCTGCCAAGTCGATCTGCACGGGTAACAACCATTGCAGGGCAAATCACACCCATTATAAACCCAGTTTCGTCAAAGTTATAGAAGTCGCAGTCCAAAACACCATATTTTGCCCTCATATTTTCCACTAGTCGAAACCACGCGCCAATTAGTTCAGGATCTTCGCACAAGGCCCTTTGGAAGTCGTAAACGCGATTAAAACGCGTCTTTAATTCTGGACGTCGTTGTACAAATCGGTGGGCCCAGAGCTTCCCGACGCGCCTCCCTCCACGCGATTCGAGTATAAAATTTGCCATATCTTCTACACCAGCAAGCCGGGGTGCAAATCCTCTTGAATCCATATCAAGTATATTCTGAATAACCACCTCCTCTTCTAGTATAGTTAATTTCATCATTGCAGGCCGGCGTTCGTAGACAGTAGTTCGGCCGTTCATTCTGTCGCAGAGTGTAGAATGAGGTACTTCATAGAGCTTAGCAGCCTTCCGACGACTTAGATTTTTTGATGTTCAGATGGCCTCGATAGCTAGAATGATTTTTGCTTCTTGGGTAATCACTGACATAATAAAAGGTGGAAAAAACGCGTTGTGAAGTTAGAGGGTAGGAAATTCGGGAAAAGTGTCCGAGGTACTGATATGTCCGACGTACTGATAAACCACGTTAATATAATATTATACAGTGTAAATATAACGTGCATGTATAACGAAAGTGCCAAACAAGCGAAAGTGCCAAAATCATGTGGTGACCAACCCCCCCAACTAAATGTTAAATTCCTCCACAACAAAACATGCGCCATAAAAATGATGAAAGCAAATTAGTGCTAGCTATCCAAGCTATGCAAAGCGACCCAAATTTGCGCCTTCGAGTTGCAGCTAGGATCTATTCCGTAGACCACCGCAAGCTACGTCACCGTTTACAAGGCGTACCTTCACGACGCGATATCCAAGCCAACTTACGGAAATTAAGTAACCTAGAGGAATCAGTTCTTGTTCAGTATATACTTGACTTAGCTGCTAAAGGGTTCCCTTCCCTCCTCAGTTGTCTATTGTTGAAGATATGGCAAATCGACTACTTGCAACATGCGACGCGCCACGCGTCAGGTCACGTTGGGCTTCAAACTTTGTTAAGCGCCAAGTAGAGCTCCGGACACGCTTCCAGCGAAAATACGACTACCAGAGGGCTAAGTGCGAAGATCCAGAAGTCATTCGTGGCTGGTTTGAGCTTGTATGGAACACAATTCTAAAGTATGGCATCAACAATGCAGATATCTACAACTTTGATGAGACTGGGTTTATGATGGGCGTCATCTCAAGCGCAACGGTAGTAACGAGCTCAGATGGGCGGGCAAAGGCAAAAAAGGTGCAGCCTGGCAATCGGGAATGGGTTACAGTAATCCAAGGTGTTAGTTCTCAAGGTTGGGCAGTGCTGCCATTTTGTAATGGTGGGTGCACCAGATGTAAGAATCTAGCCACCCAAGGAAGGGATGATTTTACTAAGACAACACACTGTCTTAGGAAACAGAGCCAAAGGGTTGTAGCTTAGACTATTCCACAACGCAGCAATCAGGTGTGTGATGTAGTGAAGTTGTTCAGACAAGTTGCAACAAATGTTGAGTCTGGGAACTCAGGGGTAAGTCAGAGGTTAACACCTCACTGACTTTTCAGAAACAAGGAGTAACAAGATGAATGCTTGGAAGCTTGTAAAAGACGGGGAAGTATGTGATAGTCGATTTACTGTATTGCCTGCTTGCCCTTTCTTAAGGAAAGGGCAATCCTATTTATGCCAAAGGAGTGTAGTTCTCTCATTTTCCATGACTTTCCATGACTAACCAGGCTTGGTAAATGTATTAGAAATCAAGTGCGACCCACAACTAGCTTGCTAATCATGTAGTGAACGTAAGAGAATCCCATAGAACCATCTCTTGGGTTCCTAGCCTATAGGAAGTGAAAAGGAGGTCCAAGGTCAGAGTACCTATAGATAAATTATGTCATAACTTAACCAATCTTGTGGGTAACTAAGGAGCGATGACGTGTAATGAATCATAGAGGGTTGTAGAAGCTTCTAGAGCTATCGTTCATGTTCCTAGGCCTCTAGTTGGTAGAGATATGCCATGTGGTAGTATTGGCCCACCCCCTTAAGGAGGAGATTTTCTTAATAACTTGTTCAATGAGTGTTCAAATGATATGCCGTGATGTATGTAGCATAAACAGATGTAGTAGAAGAGTTTGCAGCAATCGTTGAGTAGTATTGCTTCTGTTGTTGGTGTGATAAGCCAAGATATGTATGGTGACTTGTAGGTTTGAGGAGGAGATTTCTAAGTTTGCTCTTGAGTTTGATAGCAAACTGAGTGCAGCGAATGTCAGTATGACACATTTGTCATTGTGGCAGGTAAAAACCACCTTGCATCTTGGTATGAGAATAGCGGATTTTCAGCAGATTGGGTAATCGCTGTTACTGCAAATGGCTGGACTACAAACGAGAGAGGTATGGATTGGATTCAGCATTTTGAGAAGCACACAAAGCCCCGGAGTGTTGGTGGTTATCGCTTGTTAGTCCTTGATGGTCATGAGAGCCACCACTCAGACAAGTTTGAGGAGTACTGCAAAGAACACAACATTATTACGCTTTGTATGCCTGCTCACTCTTCCCATATACTCCAACCACTTGATGTTGGCTGTTTTGGCCCATTAAAGAGAGCTTACGGTCGGCAAATTGAAGATATGATGCGGGCTCATATTATTCACATTACTAAGGATGACTTCTTTCCTGCCTTCCATGCTGCATTTAACATTGCAATGTCAGAAAGCAATATTCAGGGAGGGTTCCGAGGTGCTGGGCTTCTTCCATTTAGCCCTGAGAGTGTAATATCTACACTTTGACCTTAGGTTTAAGACGCCAACACCTCCAACCTCTCGCCCAAACACCGCTCAACCATGGGTTTCTCAGACACCAAATAACCCAACTGAAGCTGTATCACAGTCTACTTTCATTAAAAACTGAATTGCGCATCATCAAAATAGCTCTCCAACCTCAATCTATGCAGCTGTTGACCAGTTTACAAAGGGTGAATCGCAAATAATGCATCAATTAGCATTGTTAAAAGCAGAGAACCAAAACCTGCGACAGGCAAATGAAGTGCTAAGCAAGCGCCGGAGAGCTAAAAAAACACGACTACAGCAAGGAGGATCACTTAGTCAACAGGTAGCACAGGAGCTACAGGATGAGAGGGACGTTGTGCAGCAAGTAGAGCAAGAAATAAGGGCAAGTAGTGGTCAGAAGCCAAGGGAAGAAACCCATGCACGTCGCTGTGGCAAGTGTGGTGAGACTGGACACAATGCGCGCACTTGTCAGATTGTAATAGACAGGTCTGAGGAAGAGGACTCCGAGTAGTTTTAATTAATTTATATTGTTGTGGTGGATTTATCACAATTCTTATGGGGTAGTCACGATATTTTGGCACTTTCGCTTGTTTGGCACTTTCGTTATACATGCACGTTAGTGTAATATGAGTAATACGAGGTCTCTTGCCACATATATCAGGTATTACGAAGATCCCAATTTACACTTGTAAAGCGTGTTAGTTCCTAAATTTTCATCTAGTTCATTAACAACTCTTATTCTAATAAAATAATGACTTCTCAACGATCAGGTATTAGCACTTCCTTCATGGCTACATCAGCCCTGGATTCGTCAGTTGTTAGCTACAACGGAGATTCTGACGTCAGAGGGACATTTATTTCGCCATCGTTAACCACACAATTTAAGAAGAAGAAGCGTACGTCGAAGATATGGGATCATACACCTTTCAGAAGGAATCAGATCGTCTGTAATACTGAAGGTCAGATTATATGGCGTTGCAAGTACTGTAAAGGGAAGCCTGTTGAATATCTCGAAAATGGAGGCACGACACACATCTACAAGCACCTTAAATCTCACACTACTCTTGATATTTTAACGCCTAACGAAGAACGGGCTGGTAAAACAAGGAACCACCTGATGTCTCAGAACGCAAATCCCCTCAAACGCCGTCGACACGACAAACAACGAACTGACAGATCTTGATGCTGATAAGCTTGAGCAACTATATGTAGAGTGCATTGCAGACTGCGGGGTTGCACTTCGTATGGTAACAAGAGAAACCTTTCGAGTGTAAGTTCTCTATTATACTTAATATTTGTAATTTATATACTAATCTTATTCTCTTTAGCTTGCTCAAATTCCTCAATCCTGGAGTCCTCTCGATTTTACCTACATCACATCAAACGATTCGCGAGTGGGTGATGCGAACGTTCGAGACGCAAAAGCGACGTATACGACAAGTTCTCCAATCAGCTATCTCAAGAATACACTTCACCGTCAATATATGGTCCTCTCCAAATAAGCTTGGTATCCTTGGTATTGTTGCACACTTCATTGATATCAATGGCGACCTGGTTTCATATTGTATTGCTTTAAGAGAGGTACACGGCAAGCATTCAGGAGAGAATCAGGCCCATATCCTGATGAATGTCATTGAGGACTACGGAATTGTCACCCAAATTGGATACTTTGTTTCAGACAATACAGACTCGAATGATACGTTAATGAATACTCTACAGAGATGTACGCATCTACCACTTTATTAAGAGAACAATACTAATAATTAATATTACACAAGAGGCATAATATTATATATGATGCAAAACATCACCGCCTTCATTGTAACGGTCATACTATCAATCTAGCAGCGCATGCGTTTATGTTCCCAAAAAATGCACTAACGAAGCCCCTATGAAAAACAAGGTTAAAAAGGATAGTACGAGCTAATATATCAAACCTTCTGATGCTGACATATTAAATTGGAGGAAGACTGGCCCTCTTGGCAAGCTTCACAATATCGTTGTCTTTATCCGATGTAGTCCACAACACATACAGAGGTTTAAAGAGATCAGTAAGAAGAAGGAACTTCTTTGCGACAATGACACAAGATGGAACTCAAAGTACTATATGAGTGAGAGGACTAAGGACAATAGCTGCAACATAAGCAGATGAACGCTCCGTAAGAGTGTAATATGCGTCGAGTTTCACCCATCCAGAATCAACACAAGGCGCCATAAAAGCGTCATCTGCATATTCGATTCGTGCAGCCTCAAATTTACTAAGAAGAAAGTCCATTATTGGTAGCGTTTGATCGATTGTATGTGCGTGACCTTCTGTAGCCTTCGTTGCATCAGCGAATGATTTGAGGAAGTTGCAAAGTTTTTTCAGCTCAGCCCAGTCTTGCTCTGAAACTATAAACTGTTAGAGTTGTCCACTTAATAGGATGTGTAACATATGTGAATCAAGCTTAAGGTCCTTCTCCTTTGAGCAATAGTAATCAATTTGATACCACCTGGGAGGAGCACCCTGGGTGGATTGAGAGTAATAAGACTACTGTAGAAGGTCTCTGGAAGTCTCATTACGCACCAGTCGCTAAGTCGGTTGAGTCGTCGGCCCAGTCCTTAGTTGAAAAGCCACCAATGAAGAACTCGTTCCTTGCATGGGAAAATGACAAGAGGATCTCGCGCTTCCTACTCTATTTGATGAGTATCAGAACTATATATCGGCCCCAAGAATTAAGGTCAAGGATGTACGAAAGTGGTGGCTTGAGGATACACAACAAACACTCTATCCAAACCTTTCGAAAATGGCGCTTGATCTTTTGTCAATTCCTGCGATGTCTGCTGAGCCAGAACGCCTCTTCTCTGATACAAAAATCACCCTTCAAGATCGCAGGAACAGGTTAGGGATTGATATAATTGAGGCAATTGGGTGCATAAAGTCCTGGTCGAAGACTCACAAAGTGGCTTGGGTTGACGACGTTGGGCTTACCTTGGATACAGCTATAATTGGAGAGGATGAACAGCAGGGGCCTTCTAAAATTATACCTGATATTATAAGCAATAGATAGTATGCAAGAAATTTAAGCTTAAACGGTTCTGTGGAGTTTTCTTTTGACCTCTACCTTTACTTCATTTACGCAGCTAGGCAACAGGAATGACATTAAATCAGTCAATGATGTAGCTTAGCTATATTATAAGGTAGCTGCAAATAGCTTCATTTTGTTTTGGTCAGCGAGACGATCTTGAGCCTCAACCTTACTCAATTTGGTTAGTTTATGCTTAGACCATGCGGCTCCTTGCACGCTGTGCGATATGATATTATAATATGATATTGCTCAAATACAGTGCAATACCATATACTGTGCAGTGCACTGAATTCTTAAACAATGCAGTGTAGGGTTGAAAAAAATATCGTATACGGTATTTTGCACTATTTACTTTGAGTTTCCTTGCACTTCACAGGAAAAGTTTTGGGAACAGGCGATTCTTCCTTCACCTTGGGGGACCCTCCAAGAGAAGACCCCAAGGACGATTTGCTCAGCCACGACTTATGACACTGAACTTCTTGGCGACGAGATAGTGCGACCATTGTATCGATGGCATGAATCTGTCGCATGACAATGTCGTGTGGATTGAGGCCCTTAGAGAGGTCGCACATGATTTCTTGAAGCTGGGTCCGTTCTGGCAGCTGGTGCTTGACAACAGGCTCAACATATGTCGGTGTCACAACTGTGACCTTCTCAAGGATCTTCTCAGGTTCTTCGTTGTGGATACGATAGAAGTAGTCGTTACAGATACTAGGTTATAATTTGTATATAAAGCGTATAATTTGTCGTGTGTAACCCATCCTGGAGCTCCGTATAGGAGCTGTGCAGTTTCGGTCCCTCGGGGCACCCAAGTGTTCTGGATGTAGTCCAGGTCGAGGCTTGGAGACGCCCCAATCCAGTCTGATCAGTGCCCCAATGATTCATTTGGAAGTTGATATTGGAGTGATAGTCTGAACTCCAGGCAGCTCGAATTGTCTCACTCCATCTCCCTGCTAGATTTGTAGGGAGGGAATTATCTCTCGAAGAGGAGATAAAGAGGTGGTGTCTGTTACGATATCAAGTGCGCCTTGCAGCTCGAGTGGGGGTTCAGGGGTGTGGGGAGCTTTCCGGGGTTGGAGCGAAGTTTTCAGTTGTGGAGTGAATTCTCAGAACTGGTCTCGCTAAAGAGAATTCACTCCACAACAACATAGCTGTATATAGATCGAGCCACTGCTCGAGTGCTCCTCTTCTCTTTCCTTTCTTCTCTAGATTGAGTTTAATTCATAATACCCAACTGGCGCCCTATGCCTTGGTGAACCGTGACATAAAACTCAATCTCTCTTATACCTCTTTTCCTGCTCTTTGAGCTGAACCCTATTCTGAAATCGAAATCGAAATCCACTCTTTGAAAACCCCAGAACCAGAAACCTTATCCTGAAGTCGATTCCAGGACGATCTCAAGGCAACCCCTCAAAGTTGGCTTTCGACAGTCAGCTCGACACACACACACCACCTTCGCAAGTCAGACCTTTTACAACGCTCCCTCGACAAGGATATAACTGTGAGGGAAGTGCGCTCCTCTCGAGTGGCTCCTACGGCCAACAACTGCACAATAGGGCCTTTGGCAATATGTGTCTGACTTGACGATATAAACCGAAATTGAAATAGCAACTCGTTATGGCTTATACAGCTGAAGAAAAAGCTGCAATGGCAGCTCGAAATGATCCAGAACAAGACCAGGAATCCCTGGCAGAAGGAGCATCAATTCCAAGCTCTGCAAACCAAACCAATGAACTTCATGATCTTAATTTCAAATCCGAAACCTTCCTTCACACTCTGGGCAAAACAGCTCAAGAGAGACATGAATCTATACTTGCAAATCGACATGAAAAGGCTGAATGGAATGTTGAAACCTTTGACGAATTCCAGAAACTATCTGTCGCCAACCAGAAAATGGCATGGACTTTGCACAAGAACATTCTTCGGGACTATTTGGCCCTAGCAGAGGACTCAAATTCGATACTGGCTGAAAAGGATGATGCCATTCTCCAGTTACAGGAACTGATCCAGAGCAACGAGCAACAAATCACAGAGCAACAAACAATTCAGAAATATCTTGAAAAGCAAACCCAACAAGCTCTGAAGAATGAACCAGGACACCACTCTCACAGTCAACTGTCAGCTCGGATTCCAGACCCTCCAATCCTCACAGATGGGATAGAGCCAGCATTTGAAGACTGGGTTGTGAAAATTCGCCTCAAGCTCGAAGCCAACATTGATCATTTTCCAACACAGACTTTACAAATGAGCTACATTCAGAGTCGACTGGGAGGACTGGCAGTTCGACATGTCAATCCAAGGCTTCGACCAAACTCTACAAACAAATTGCAGACAGCAGAAGAAATTCTCGAACTTTTGGAAAAAGTCTTCAGTGATCCCGATCAAAGGCACACAGCTCAAACTGAGTATCGAAAGCTGTATCAGAGAAACAGCACCTTTGCAGTGTTCTGGGCTGAGTTCCAAAGGCTCACGACAGAGCTTGATTACTCTGAAAGAACTTTGCTGGATGACTTGCGCTTCAAAGTCAACCAACAGATGCAGAAAGCCTTAGTGGCTGAAGTTGGAGCTACTACACTTCACGAGTTTGCAAAGAAATGCATGCTCATCGACCAGAACATCCAGCGGATCAAGGAACAAGAAGACAAAAGGAAGCCAAAGTCATTTTCGAACAACATGGGCCAAACTCAAAATCAGGGCCAGGCACTTCGAACTTCAATCCCTCAACCTACAATGGATTCCAACATGCAAAACAAGACGCAGAAGCTGTATCGACCACCGCCTCAAGATCCAGCAAAAGAAATGCTCATGAAACTTGGGAAATGCTTCATATGCTGACAAAATGGACATTGAGCTCGAGACTGTCCCCAGAAGCTCAAAGCTCAAGTGAATGAGGTATCTACAGCTGAGTCTATCATCGATTCAGAAAACGAATAGCCTCTAGACAAGTCATCACTAGAGGCAGTGCAGCCAGAATTGCAGCTTCTTCCTCGAGATCTAGTTTTGATCCAGACACCCCTTTCTTAGCTACTTGTAGAATAGGAAAATACAAAGCTATTGTCCATGCATTGATCGATACTGGTGCCACAGGTGGAAACTTCATTAATGCTGCTGATGCAGAAAGAATATGTGAAATCGAAGGGATAGCCCCAGTCGAACTTGTGAAGCCAAAACAAGTTGAAGGATTCAATGGAGAGGCTGCCCCTGCTATCACACATGCTATATATCCTCGACTACAAGTGGGAGAGCATGTGGAAAGCCTATGTCCATTATTCATTACTTCGCTGGGAAAACATTCCATCATTCTCGGGAAAGCTTGGATGAAGCAACATGGAGTTGTTCTCGATATGATCAATGATCAAGTCCTCTTCACTGGAGATTATTGCAACCATTCTATACCAGATCGAGCCCTCGAAACAGAGCCTATATCTAAAAGCGAAAGACAAAGGCCAAAGAAGAAAGCCAAAGAAATGCCTCCTCCGGAACCTGCTCCGAAAGTGGAAAAACCAAAACCTTGCACCATAGCAATGATTGGCGCAGCACCATTTCGAATGCTCATGAAGCAAAGAGGAGCTCAAGTCTTTGCTATATCAATGAAGGACATAATCGAGCACAAGAACAAGACCAAAACTGAAGAAATTGACTCTCGACTGATCCTTCCGAAGGAATTTCATGAATTTTTGGATGTTTTTTCAAAAATGGCAGCAGACAAGCTACCTCCCCATTGACCTTCAGGCCATCATATTGAACTCGAAGGTGATGCAAAGCTGGGATATGCACCACTCTGGAATATGTCAAAGGAAGAACTTGATTTGGTCGAAGAATATGTCTTCGAGCACTTGCCAAAAGGGTTCATTGAAGCAAGCAAAGCCCCATACTCTTCACCCATTATGTTTGTGAGAAAGCCAGGTGGTGGTCTTCGATTCTGTGTTGACTACAGGAAGCTAAATGCCATAACGAAAAAGGATCGATATCCCATACCACTCATTGATGAAACGCTGGCCCAAGTCATAGGAGCAAAATATCTCACCAAACTGGACATTCGACATGCCTTCAATCGAATTCGAATGCAGACAGAAGAAGATGAAGACCTCACTACATTCAGAACTCGATTTGGATCCTACAAATACAAGGTCATGCCCTTCGGACTCACAAATGGTCCAGCAACATTCCAGAGGTACATGAATGAAACCCTCATGGATTACCTCAACCAATTCGTCACCTCATACATGGATGACATTCTTATCTACAGTGCTACTCGAGCGGAGCATACAGAGCACATAAGGAAAGTCCTACAGAAGCTTCAAGAAGCTGACAAGAAGACAAGCTCGATGGGCTGAATTCCTCTCTCGATACAACTTCCAGATCATCTATAGGCCTGGGAAGCAAAATGGAAAAGCAGATGCTTTGACTCGAAGGCCTGGTGACAGACCAGAAGGCAATGATGAGGATGATCGACAAAAGCAACAGCTTCAGGTGTTGCTACCACCTTCGAGGCTACATCCAGACATTCAGAAACTCAAAGAACAAGGCCAAACAGCTCAGCTAGCTCCAGTGGAAACTCATATCAGAGAAATGACAATTCTTGAGAAAATCCAAAAGTCTCAACTGGAAGACAAATTCTGCAAGGCTACACTACAGAAGCTTGAGAATCGTGATCGAACAAGCAAAGAGGTTGCATTGGCTTATTGCGAACTCAAAAACGGCATGCTAGAATATCAAAATCGAGTTTGGGTGCCAGAAACCATTCAGGTGGACTTGTTGAGAGAAGTTCATGAACAACCTTCTATGGGACATCCAGGAGCTCGAAAGATGCTGCGAGTCATGAAACAGCACTATTACTGGCCAAACATGGACAAAACAATAATTCGATATATCAAAAACTGCCATAGTTGTCGAAGATCGAAACCATCTCGAGATTCCTACAATGGACTTCTACAACCAATCTCTATTGACAGTCGACCATGGATGGATATATCAATGGATTTCGTGACAGGATTACCACTCTGTGAAGGGAACAATGCTATCTTGGTTGTTGCATGCAGGTTGACGAAAGAAAGACATTTCATTCCGTGTTTCGCTGGGCAAGAAGGGACTACTGCAGAAGCTACAGCACAGCTCTTACTTCGACATGTATGGAAGCACCATGGTCTACCAAACTCGATAATATCAGACAGAGGTCCTCAGTTCATTGCAGAAGTCTGGAGTTTGCTCTGCAAAATTTGGAAAATTTCGGCCAAACTTTCAACTGCCTTCCACCCAGAAACAGATGGACAGACTGAGCGATTCAATGCAGAGCTCGAACGCTACTTGCGAGCTCATGTGAACTATCTTCAAGACAATTGGGTTTCATACTTGTGCATGGCGGAGTTTGCTGCCAACAGTTTGCCATCAGATGCAACCAAGACAAGTGCGTTTTTTGCGAACAAGGGCTATGAACCAAGAATGAGCTTCGATACAGAGCAGCAAGCATATCACGAAGCCAAACAAGAGCACAAGAACATAGCTCAGACCATGGCAAAGGTTTGGGAGTTTCTGCAGGATGAAATCACGCTCTCGCAAGCAAAAATGGAACATTTCGCGAACAAGAAAAAGGAAACCTGCACCACGCTATCAAGTGGGAGACAGAGTATGGCTTTCAACTCGAAATATAAAGACACAGAGGCCATCAAAGAGGCTAGACCACAAGCAAGTGGGACCTTTTGAAATTCTAGAGCGAATTGGGCAAGTTGCATATCGGCTCAAACTTCCAAACAGCATGAAGATTCATCCAGTATTTCATGCCAATCTATTAAGACTTGACTCGAATGATGCAATCGAAGGGCAGCAACAGGAGCCAGAGCCTCCAGTCATTGTCAATGGCGAAGAGGAGTGGGAAGTGGACGAAA